TGTGTCTGGGCCAGATGTCTGGGAGGAGGCCCAGGAGACAGATAAGTTAGCGTCTCACAGTGAAGGTCAGATATGGCTTGCGTCCCAAATGGCACCCCATTCCCTATGTAGTGCATAACTTTTGAGCAGGGCCCATAGGGCTCTATATAGGGAATAGGGTTCCATTTGGAACACGGCCTTGGAGCTACGCTAGTGGATGATAATCCCCATGTCCTCAGGGATAACGTGCACAGGAGTGTGTGTGTGTGTAGCAGTGTGTGTCGGAGTGTGTGTGTGTTGTAGTAGTGTGTGTGTTGTAGGAGTGTGTGTGTGTGTGTTGTAGGAGTGTGTGTGTGTTTGTGTGTGTGTGTTGTAGGAGTGTGTGTGTGTGTGTGTTCCATTGTTTCCGGGGCCTGTGACCTTTACACTCAAACGAGAGGGGTTCGGACAATCCTGAGTGACAGGTGTGTGTGTGTGTGTGGCGGGGCTTAGTCTGTGTGTGTGTGTTTGTGTGATTGTGTGTGTGTGGCAGAGCTTAGTGTGTGTTTATGTGTGGCAGGTCTGAGTGGCAGGGGGCTCAGGTCCCACAGAGAAATTAGACAGGGCCAGAGGGCCAATTAAAACAACAGAGGCAGGAAGAGTGTGTGTGTTGGGGTTGTGTGTGTCTGGGTTCTTAGAGACGACCAAGTACAAAATGCATTCATGGATAATATAGTAGGCCTTAACCGCTTTAAATGGCTACAATGTTTATCCACTGTAGCCTGATGCAGGCGAAAAATTGAAATGTTACATAATTAAAATATTATTCTAGCAATACTAAATGATTAATTCATTCCCATTAGGTGTAGGTCAGGTTAGACTGACAGGCAGACCGTATTCTGATGACTCATATTCTTTAAATTGGTCATTATAACATTAGATAACTAATGGGCAAAACTTTAACGGCAGTCGTATTTCTATGCTTTAAAACTCACTCCAATCATCCTTTACTCGGGCAGCGTTGAGATTCTCACCTTGTCTAGTAAAATGTCAAACCGGGGCGCTCGAGACGAACCGGTAGCAGATAATTTTCCAACGAGGAGGAACGGAGTGCACCGGCTGTCGGGACTAACGATCGGCGGGGTCGCTAGGAACACTCGCTGCCCAGGTAATTAGATTTAATAAGGGAGATGTGTGTGTCAGAGAGAGAGAGAGGACAATATGGCATACAAATGAGAGTGAGGGGAGAGAGAGGGGGAGGGAGAGAGAGGGACGTAGAGGGAGAGGGATAGGAGGAGGGTGAGACGGAGGAGAGGGGGCGAAGGGGGAGAGAGAGAGGGGGGCGCGGAGACGCGGAGGGGGAGAGAGAGAGGAGGCGGGGGGGAGAGATGAGAGGGGGAGGGGGAGGGAGGGAAGGGGAGAGACGAGAGGGGGGGGAGGGGAGGGAGGGGCGACGAGAGAGGGGGAGGGAGAGAGAGAGAGGGAGGAGGGAGAGAGAGAGGGGGAGGGGAGAGAGTGAGGGAGGAGGGGGGAGGGAGAGAGAGAGGAGGGGGGAGGGAGAGAGAGGGGGGGGGAGGGGAGAGAGGGAGAGGGAGGGAGGAGGGGGGAGGGAGAGAGGGGGAGGAGAGGGGGAGGGAGAGAGAGGGGGGAGGGAGAGAGAGGGAGAGAGAGAGGGGGGAGGAGGGAGAGGGGGGAGGGAGAGAGAGGGGGGAGGGGAGAGAGGGGGGGGAGGAGAGAGGAGGAGAGAAGGAGGGAGGGAGAAGGAGAGGGGGGGAGGGAGAGAGAGAGGGGGGGGGGGGAGGGAGCGGAGGGGAGAGAGAGGGGGGGAGAGGAGAGAGGGTGGAGGGAGAGAGATGGAGGGGGGAGAGGAGAGGGGTGAGGGGGAGAGAGAGGGGGAGGGAGAGAGAGAGGGGGAGAGAGAGAGAGGTGTTCTAAATTAGCTCTACAAATGAGTGAGCTGTTCCTAAGTGCAGCTCCTCCTAAATGGAAGACATCATTCAATATGAAAAGATTCTGTTCTTTCTGTTCTTTTCAAATGGAAGCCTCCGTCTCCACATTGACAACGTCTCTCTGTCTGTCTGTCTGTCAATATCACTGGCAGTCTATGAGCCAATTAGTACAACCCATTCCCCCTGTCTGTCTGTCATTTCACTCTGCCTACAGATCTATAATGGATGTCAATGAGTTGTTGCTCAAATTACACTCGGGCCAAGTCCCAAATGTTACCCTATTCCCTATCCTATACACCCAGGTCAAAAGTAGTGCACTATATAGGTACCATTTGGGAAGCATTCTAACTTTAGACTCCTGAGATGGTTCCCACGGGGGGCCAGTATAAAAAAATACAAAAAAAAAAAAATTCAATTTTTTTTTTTATAATGTATGCACTCACTAACTGTAAGTCGCTCTGGATAAGAGCGTCTGCTAAATGACTAAAATGTAAAATGTAAAATGTGAGTGGTCAATGCTTCAATGATCCTAACATGCTCATTAAGGAGAGTTATGAAGAGACTAATGGCTGATGTACTGAACACGGCCATCTTCAGTTTTTGCAGTGAATAGTTACTGCAGTCAATAACAGGTATGAAACAGGGAGGGATTACCTGTACTTGATCAATAACACTTGTTTTCCTTTTTCCATTGCAAAATGTTTCGCTACGGTGTGCCCTAATGAATTCCACCCAGGAGTCGGGGCGTGGCCAGAGCTACGGACCAGAAGCAGGGTTTTGTTTCAGCCTTACTGTAACACACCTGATTTGACTAATCAGCTGATACTCACAACCTTGATTAGCTGAACCAGGTGTGTGGTGTAAAATAGGGCTGGAGCAAAAGCCTGTCAGTAGCTCTCTAGGAAGAGGATTTGGTAACCCCCTGTGCTCTTCAATTCACAGTGGCAACATGGAAGACTTGGCTAGGTTTACAGTGCAATACAGCGCCACCTTGTGTTACAGAGCGGTAGTGACACACGTCAAAATGAAATTGGAATCAGTATCTGTAACCAGGTTTCGATCCAACTTTTTTTTCATCTGAGTAAAGTACATGTCGGGATAAAAACATGTCATGACAGGCCTGATGGAAACAGAATTTGTTTTCGGTAAACTTTCCAAATGTCGACAAAGCAAAATACTCTAGACATGGTGTGTTCTTTTTGTGTCGGTAAAATTAATTACGCGAGGAATGTCAGTGGAAACGCTTTTATGCGCAAATATTGATATAATAACCATCATTTCGAAGTAAATTTGGAGTTAAGCAATGACGTGTGATCCTCCCACTACGACTCGTCGGGAAAGCATGCAGATTATTAGGCCACAGATGAAATAAATTATGAGGAACTTCACAGGGTGGTGAAAGGGCAAGGTGATGAGCTTGATGCTCCTTTCCAATAAATATTGAGGGTCTTTTTATTCTGGTGACATGATCTTCGATGCTTGGTAAAATATATATATATATATATATATCTTTGACAAATATAATGTCTCTCTTTTGTACATAATAATCTCAGCATGTAGGGTAAACGTGCCAATACCGGAGTGGCCACTTGCTATATAACGCAACGTTTTTTGTGAGAAACCCATCAGTAGAGTTGAAAATGCGATAGAAACCCATTTCCTCCGTACGTGGGAATTTAACCCTAAAAGGGATTTTATGTGCACAACATCATGCACAGCCTTTTATCTGTAACAAGTCAATTGGATGGAAACACATCTCTCGTTGGAAAATTTACATATTGTTTTTAATGCAGATTTTACAATATTCGCATGAAAATCTCCCGCCAATTGGATGGAAACCTAGCAACGGAGTTACTTTGAAAACAAAGTGGAAGGTAAACGAGAATTTAAAACACACCCCAAAAAAAAAAATCACACTTTATTTCAAGGAGCTGTTTTGGGAAGTTACAAAACAAAACAAAAGGTATATTACAGTATACCTCCATTATCGGACTGTATATGGGTCTAAGTCCTGCACCCAGATCAGACTTACATTCCTGGGGCCATATCTATGTCTCAGAGTAGGGGTGCCGATTTAGGATCAGTTTTGTCTTTAAGATTATAACGAATACAATTATATGGACCAGGGAGGGGACCTGATCCCTGACCAGTACTCCTACTCTGAGACGGTTCCTGGACTAAGAAGCCCTTTCAATGGAGATACTCAATGAAAGTGTTTTTTTTAAGCCCATGAGTATGCTTCATCTGGGTCCGGCAAACTAGCCCTGTAAGAACTGGGTCAACTTACAAGACTCCAGAGAGATTTCATTCATTTACAGAGGAAAAATTCAGTGAACTTTTAATAAATTCCCTGGTTTTACAGAAATCCCGGTTGTAGGATTCCCCGAATAAGCAGGAAATCCAGAACCCTACAACCAGGATTTCTGGAAAACGAGGGAATTTATATTTTTAAAAAATGTATGACACCTTTTAAGTAAAAAAATGCATATTTTTAAACATTTAATGAAATTTAAAATGTACCCATCAGCTTTCAGTGAGGGCTGTGTGATGGTAAGGAGAGGAGACCAATGGACTGTCATTGATGAAGAGGACATATTGGAATTAATACAAAATGGAGGACCAAGGATTTTGTAGTAGTCAGGGTTGGGGTCAATACCATTTCAATTCAGAAAGTAACCCAAATTCCAATTCCAAATGTTCCACATTGAAGAGAAATGGATTTTCAGTTTACTTTCTAAATTGACTGGAATTTAAATGGAATTGACCCCAACCCTGGTAGTAGGTAACTATGGAGGTACAAGAAAGAAATAACACACTGGGATCGTCCCAAATGGAACCCTATTCCCTTTATAGTGCACTACTTTTGTCCAGGGCCCGTAGGACTCAGGTCAACATTAGTGCACTATATAGGGATTAGGGTGCCATTTGGAACGCACAATAGGAATAGGACCTGTTCTACAGTAAAGCTACCTAAAACACATTGACTGCATCACCTGCACTGTGCTGCCAGTTGCCTTTTGAGTTGTTTATCAGTTCTATTTCACTTCCTCCCTCATACTCTCCCTCTTCGCCTCTCCCTCCTGTTACAGGGATCTACTTCTCCTCCTCCGCATCCCCCTCTCCTTCCCCGTCCGTTTTTGGGGCATCCTTTCCCTCTTCCTGCTTTCCATCCTCCTCTCCCTGGTTCGACTTGATCTCTTCCTGGTTTGTGGTGACCACTTCCTGTTTCCCATCCTTAGGCCCCTCCTCCTTGACGACCTCCTGCAGGTTGTACTTCCTGTATAGAGTGTAGTCCCTGACAACGCTGACGCAGCACACACTCTTGATGACCTCGACGATGATGGTGAGCTCAGGGGTGGTCAGGTCAACCTTGTTCTTAGGATTCATCTTCCCCACCAGGCCTGCAGGGGGAGACACATACAGTTGAAGTCGGAAGTTTACATACACCTTAGCCAAATACATTCAAACTCAGTTTTTCACAATTCCTGACATTTAATCCTAGTAAAAATTCCCTGTCTTAGGTCAGTTATGATCACCACTTTATTTTAAGAATGTGAAAATGTCAGAATAATAGTAGAGAGAATGATTTATTTAGTGGTTGAAAAAACGAGTTTTAAATGACTCCAACCTAAGTGTATGTAAACTTCCGACTTCAACTGTATATAAGCTTTGCCAGGGGCGCAATTGGCCCAGCGTCGTCCAGGGTAGGGGAGGGAATGGCTGGCAGGGATGTAGCTCAGTTGGTAGAGCATGGAGTTTGCAACGCCAGGGTTGTGGGTTCGATTCCCACGGGGGGCCAGTATGAAAAAATAATTTTAAAAAAATAATGTATGCACTCACTAACTGTAAGTCGCTCTGGATAAGAGCGTCTGCTAAATGACGTAAATTTAAATGTACAGAGTTGATATGAGCTAACGCAGTATACACGCAAGGGTTGTCCCATGGAGACAGGAGAGGTGTGAGATATGAACACACTAGGAACATACAGAGCCAGTTTAAGACTGTTGGAAAAGGCATTCCAGGTGAAGCTGGTTGAGAGAATGCCAAGAGTGTGCAAAGCTGTCATCAAGGCAAAGGGTGGCTATTTGAAGGGTGGTCCTCGTGAGAGCCAGTTTCATCATAGCGCTTGATGGTTTTTGCGACTGCACTTTAAGAAACTTTCAAAGTTCTTGAAATGTTTCGTATTGACTGACCTTCATGTCTTGAAGTAATGATGGGCTGTCGTTTCTCTTTGCTTAATTGAGCTGTTCTTGCCATAATATGGACTTGGTGTTTTTACCAAATATGTCTATCTTCTGTATACCCCCCTACCTTGTCACAACACAACTGATTGGCTCAAACACATTAAGAAGGAAAGAAATTAAATAAATTAACTTTTAAGAAGGCACACCTGTTAATTGAATTCATTCCAGGTGACTACCTCATGAAGCTGGTTGAGAGAATGCCAAGAGTGTGCAAAGCTGTCATCAAGGCAAAGGGTGGCTATTTTGAAGAATCTCAAATATAAAATATATTTTGATTTGTTTAACACTTTTTTGGTTACTAGATGATTCCATATGTGTTATTTCATAGTTTTGATGTCTTCACTATTATTCTACAATGTAGAAAATAGTACAAAATAAAGAAGAACCCTTGAATGAGTAGGTGTTCTAAACCTTTTGACCGGTAGTGTATAGAGCCAGTTTCCTGGACATGATCTCTATCCAGCATGCTTCTCAGTCCAGGCCTATGCTTAATCTGTGTCTTGGAAACTGGCCACATGAGATATACAGATATATCTAGGATGGAGGTGGTCTGAGATATACAGAGATATCTAGGATGGAGGTGGTCTGAGATATACAGAGATATCTAGGATGGAGGTGGTCGGCCGAAGCAGACATGAGGCTACAAGTCTGTTTCGCTAGTACAAACTGGGATATGTTCCAGGATTCATCCCATAGCATTGGAGGAGTTTACCACAACAGTCAAGGGCTTCATCAACAAACTGGGATATGTTCCAGGATTCATCCCATAGCATTGAGGAGTTTACCACAACAGTCAAGGGCTTCATCAACAAACTGGGATATGTTCCAGGATTCATCCCATAGCATTGAGGAGTTTACCACAACAGTCAAGGGCTTCATCAACAAACTGGGATATGTTCCAGGATTCATCCCATAGCATTGAGGAGTTTACCACAGCAGTCAAGGGCTTCATCAACAAGTGTTTTCCAGAGTCAGTAGAAAGGCCTCTTTAGTGTCCTAAGTTTTCATAACTGTGACCTTAATTGCCTACCGTCTGTAAGCTGTCAGTGTCTTAAACGACCGTTCCACAGGTGCATGTTCATTAATTGTTTATGGTTCATTGAACAAGCATGGGGAAACAGTGTTTGAACCCTTTACAATGAAGATCTGTGAAGTTATTTGGATTTTTACAAATTATCTTTGAAAGACAGGGTCCTGAATATGGGACGTTTCTTTTTTTGCTGAGTTTATATATATATATACACACTCTACACTCCCACATAAAACCCTCACACGTTCACACCGACAACACAAACACACGCACAAACTTTTACACTCATCCACACTGCTGCTACTCTGTTCTTTAATTTACTATTATTATTATTTACATTTACATTTTAGTCATTTAGCAAACGCTCTTATCCAGAGCGACTTACAGGAGCAATTAGGGTTAAGTGCCTTGCTCAAGGGCACATTTACATCATTTAGCAGACGCTCTTATCCAGAGCGACTTACAAATTGGTGCATTCACCCTATAGCCAGTGGGATAACCACTTTCCAAATTTATTTTTTTATTAATTTTTTTTGGGGGGGGGTAGAAGGATTACTTTATCCTATCCCAGGTATTCCTTAAAGAGGTGGGGTTTCAAATGTCTCCGGAAGGTGGTGAGTGACTCCGCTGTCCTACCTATTATCTATCCTGATGACTCCTTTACCCTGCCTTCATGTACATATCTACCTCATATACCTTATTATTATCTATCCTGATGACTCCTTTACCCTGCCTTCATGTACATATCTACCTCAAATACCTTATTATTATCTATCCTGATGACTCCTTTACCCTGCCTTCATGTACATATCTACCTCAAATACCTTATTATTATCTATCCTGATGACTCCTTTACCCTGCCTTCATGTACATATCTACCTCAAATACCTTATTATTATCTATCCTGATGACTCCTTTACCCTGCCTTCATGTACATATCTACCTCAAATACCTTATTATTACCTATCCTGATGCCTAGTCACTTTACCCTGCCTTCATGTACATATCTACCTCATATACCTTATTATTATCTATCCTGATGACTCCTTTACCCTGCCTTCATGTACATATCTACCTCATATACCTTATTATTATCTATCCTGATGACTCCTTTACCCTGCCTTCATGTACATATCTACCTCATATACCTTATTATTATCTATCCTGATGACTCCTTTACCCTGCCTTCATGTACATATCTACCTCATATACCTTATTATTATCTATCCTGATGACTCCTTTACCCTGCCTTCATGTACATATCTACCTCATATACCTTATTATTATCTATCCTGATGACTCCTTTACCCTGCCTTCATGTACATATCTACCTCATATACCTTATTATTATCTATCCTGATGACTCCTTTACCCTGCCTTCATGTACATATCTACCTCAAATACCTTATTATTATCTATCCTGATGCCTAGTCACTTTACCCTGCCTTCATGTACATACAGTGGGCAAAAAAAGTATTTAGTCAGCCACTAATTGTGCAAGTTCTCCCACTTAAAAAGATGAGAGAGGCCTGTAATTTTCATCATAGGTACACGTCAACTATGACAGACAAAATGAGAAAAAAAAATCCAGAAAATCACATTGTAGGATTTTTTATGAATGTATTTGCAAATTATGGTGGAAAATAAGTATTTGGTCAATATCAAAAGTTTCTCAATACTTTGTTATATACCCTTTGTTGGCAATGACACAGGTCAAACGTTTTCTGTAAGTCTTCACAAGGTTTTCACACACTGTTGCTGGTATTTTGGCCCATTCCTCCATGCAGATCTCCTCTAGAGCAGTGATGTTTTGGGGCTGTCGCTGGGCAACAAGCACTTTCAACTCCCTCCAAAGATTTTCTATGGGGTTGAGATCTGTAGACTGGCTAGGCCACTCCAGGACCTTGAAATGCTTCTTACGAAGCCACTCCTTTGTTGCCCGGGCGATGTGTTTGGGATCATTGTCATGCTGAAAGACCCAGCGACGTTTCATCTTCAATGCCCTTGCTGATGGAAGGAGGTTTTGACTCAAAATCTCACGATACATGCCCCATTCATTCTTTCTTTTACACGGATCAGTCGTCCTGGTCCCTTTGCTGAAAAACAGCCCCAAAGCATGATGTTTCCACCCCCATGCTTCACAGTAGGTATGGTGTTCTTTGGATGCAACTCAGCATTATTTGTCCTCCAAACACGACGAGTTGAGTTTTTACCAAAAAGTTATATTTTGGTTTCATCTGACCATATGACATTCTCCCAATCCTCTTCTGGATCATCCAAATGCACTCTAGCAAACTTCAGACGGGCCTGGACATGTACTGGCTTAAGCAGGGGGACACGTCTGGCACTGCAGGATTTGAGTCCCTGGCAGCGTAGTGTGTTACTGATGGTAGGCTTTGTTACTTTGGTCCCAGCTCTCTGCAGGTCATTCACTAGGTCCCCCCGTGTGGTTCTGGGATTTTTGCTCACCGTTCTTGTGATCATTTTGACCCCACGGGGTGAGATCTTGCGTGGAGCCCCAGATCGAGGGAGATTATCAGTGGTCTTGTATGTCTTCCATTTCCTAATAATTGCTCCCACAGTTGATTTCTTCAAACCAAGCTGCTTACCTATTGCAGATTCAGTCTTCCCAGCCTGGTGCAGGTCTACAATTTTGTTTCTGGTGTCCTTTGACAGCTCTTTGGTCTTGGCCATAGTGGAGTTTGGAGTGTGACTGTTTGAGGTTGTGGACAGGTGTCTTTTATACTGATAACAAGTTCAAACAGGTGCCATTAATACAGGTAACGAGTGGAGGACAGAGGAGCCTCTTAAAGAAGAAGTTACAGGTCTGTGAGAGCCAGAAATCTTGCTTGTTTGTAGGTGACCAAATACTTATTTTCCACCATAATTTGCAAATAAATTCATTAAAAAATCCTACAATGTGATTTTCTGGATTTTTTCTCTCAATTTGTCTGTCATAGTTGACGTGTACCTATGATGAAAATTACAGGCCTCTCTCATCTTTTTAAGTGGGAGAACTTGCACAATTGGTGGCTGACTAAATACTTTTTTCCCCCACTGTATCTACCTCAAATACCTTATTATTATCTATCCTGCTGACTCCTTTACCCTGCTTTCATGTACATATCTACCTCAAATACCTTATTATTATCTATCCTGATGCCTAGTCACTTTACCCTGCCTTCATGTACATATCTACCTCAAATACCTTATTATTATCTATCCTAATGCCTAGTCACTTTACCCTGCCTTCATGTACATACATACAGTGGAGAGAACAAGTATTTGATACACTGCCGATTTTGCAGGTTTTCCTACTTACAAAGCATGTAGAGGTCTGTAATTTTTATCATAGGTACACTTCAACTGTGAGAGACGGAATCTAAAACAAAAATCCAGAAAATCACATTGTATGATTTTTAAGTAATTAATTTGCATTTTATTGCATGACATAAGTATTTGATACATCAGAAAAGCAGAACTTAATATTTGGTACAGAAACCTTTGTTTGCAATTACAGAGATCATATGTTTCCTGTAGGTCTTGACCAGGTTTGCACAGGGATTTTGGCCCACTCCTCCATACAGACCTTCCCCAGATCCTTCAGGTTTCGGGGCTGTCGCTGGGCAATACGGACTTTCAGCTCCCTCCAAAGATGTTCTATTGGGTTCAGGTCTGGAGACTGGCTAGGCAACTCCAGGACCTTGAGATGCTTCTTACGGAGCCACTCCTTAGTTGCCCTGGCTGTGTGTTTCGGGTCGTTGTCATGCTGGAAGACCCAGCCACGACCCATCTTCAATGCTCTTACTGAGGGAAGGAGGTTGTTGGCCAAGATCTCGCGATACATGGCCCCTTCCATCCTCCCCTCAATACGGTGCAGTCGTCCTGTCCCCTTTGCAGAAAAGCATCCCCAAATAATGTTTTTCCACCTCCATGCTTCACGGTTGGGATGGTGTTCTTGGGGTTGTACTCATCCTTCTTCTTCCTCCAAACACGGCGAGTGGAGTTTAGACCAAAAAGCTCTATTTTTGTCTCATCAGACCACATGACCTTCTCCCATTCCTCCTCTGGATCATCCAGATGGTCATTGGCAAACTTCAGACGGGCCTGGACATGCGCTGGCTTGAGCAGGGGGACCTTGCGTGCGCTGCAGGATTTTAATCCATGACGGCGTAGTGTGTTACTCATGGTTTTCTTTGAGACTGTGGTCCCAGCTCTCTTCAGGTCATTGACCAGGTCCTGCCGTGTAGTTCTGGGCTGATCCCTCACCTTCCTCATGATCATTGATGCCCCACGAGGTGAGATCTTGCATGGAGCCCCAGACCGAGGGTGATTGACCGTCATCTTGAACTTCTTCCATTTTCTAATAATTGCGCCAACAGTTGTTGCCTTCTCACCAAGCTGCTTGCCTATTGTCCTGCAGCCCATCCCAGCCTTGTGCAGGTCTACAATTTTAACCCTGATGTCCTTACACAGCGCTCTGGTCTTGGCCATTGTGGAGAGGTTGGAGTCTGTTTGATTGAGTGTGTGGACATGTGTCTTTTATACAGGTAACGAGTTCAAACAGGTGCAGTTAATATAGGTAATGAGTGGAGAACAGGAGGGCTTCTTAAAGAAAAACTAACAGGTCTGTGAGAGCCGGAATTCTTACTGATTGGTAGGTGATCAAATACTTATGTCATGCAATAAAATGCAAATTAATTACTTAAAAATCATACAATGTGATATTCTGGATTTTTGTTTTAGATTCCGTCTCTCACAGTTGAAGTGTACCTATGATAAAAAATTACAGACCTCTACATGCTTTGTAAGTAGGAAAACCTGCAAAATCGGCAGTGTATCAAATAATTGTTCTCCCCACTGTATCTACCTCAAATACCTTATTATATCTATCCTAATGCCTAGTCACTTTACTCTGCCTTCATGTACACATCTACCTCAAATACATTGTACCTCTGCACATTGATCTGGTACTGGTACTCCCTGTATATAGCAGCACATTGATCTGGTACTGGTACTCCCTGTATATAGCAGCACATTGATCTGGAACTGGTACTTCCTGTATATAGCTCCACAGTGATCTGGTACTGGTACTCCCTGTATATAGCTGCACAGTGATCTGGTACTGGTACTCCCTGTATATAGCTCCACAGTGATCTGGTACTGGTACTCCGATTACTCCACGTGATCTGGTACTGTACTCCCTGTAATAGCTCCACATGATCTGGTACTGGTACTCCCTGTATATAGCTCCACAGTTGATCTGGTACTGGTACTTCCTGTATATAGCAGCACATTGATCTGGTACTGGTACTTCCTGTATATAGCAGCACATTGATCTGGTACTGGTACTTCCTGTATATAGCTCCATTCTTGTGTATTTTATTCCTCGTGTTAGTTACTATTTTATTTTGCATCGTTGGGTAAGGTTCGTAAGCGAGCATTTCAATGTAAAGTCTACACTAGTTGTATTTGGTGCATGTGATAAATACAATGTAATTCTGGTCTCTGAACATTACTGTATATAGAGACGTGTTTCCCTACTGTGTCCATGTAGCCTACCTGCCAGGGCCTTGATGATGTCATCCCTCTTGTTGTGGGAGCTGTTCCGGGCCTTGAAGGCGATCTGGTAGCTGCCCTGGTTGGGGGCTTTAAACCACGGCTCTAAGAACACACTCAGGTACTTATCCATGTCCTCCTGGAACGCCTTGCATGTTCCACTCACCTAGAACACACAGAGAACCATCAGAACCATACGGAGAACCCCCCCCCCCACACAAATAAACACACACATTCTAGAAAAAAGAAATGATTCCTGCTAGTCCCGAGTCTCTCCCTTTCTCTTCTGGTTGTACGGTCAGGAAACCTCCGTGCCATTTGACACTCAGCCCATGCCATTACATGTGCTCACCGGCAGCATTCTGAGGATGACTCGTGACTTGTTCTTCTTGGTGAGGTGGAGGTCTGACAGGATGTGATGCACCAGCTTATCAGGGTCTGGAGAGAGAGAGAGTGAGTGTGAGAGAAAGCGAGTGAGTGAGAAGATCGAGAGCGTGAGAGAGAGAGTGAGTGAGAGAGGATGGGGAGTATAAAAGGACACAAGTTCGTTATAAACAAACAGACTATTTTGAGGACTTCTGAATAGGTGTAACTGTCACAATGTTGGCAGTTCTTTATTTAACTAAGGATAAAACTAGCCTGGTCCCAGATCTGTTTATGCTATCATGTCAACTCCTTGTCATGCCAAGGAGTGGCGTGACGGCACAAACAGACTGGTACCCAGGCTAGGATAAAACTAAGGATGATTGAAATTAGCTAAAGAACTATGATAAAAGTGTCTGCTAAATTAGTCTTCTCAGATAAGTCACACTCTTCTCACTCTCCACTCAGTGCCCTGATCAAAAGTAGTGCACTATATAGGGAATAAGGTGCCTTTTAAGACATGCTCCATCTCCGTCTAAGGAGCTGGGATGCTGTCACTGTGTGTGTGTGTGGGGGGGATGCCGTCTGTCAAACTCTTCCTCACCAAGGTTCTTCGTCTTGATGAAGATGACGTTGTTGGCCCCGCTGTCCATGGCCTGGAAGCGCCGCTCCCGTTTCCCTGACGATGCTTTGAGCTGCGTCACCTCCTTCTTCAGAGCTGCCTCCACATCTTCATCATCCTCTTCCTCACTACCGCTCTCCTCAGGTTCCTTAAACTGGGTTGTCAGGAGTTTAGAGACGTTAGTAAACAAAAAGACAGATTTATAACTATTAACAAAGATCACTACCGATGAAGATGTAGAAATAATATCTACTAACAATACACACTTCTGGATTTCGTAAAGTTGGCTCGGCTCAGTTACTTTAGAAATGACTCCTTCCTCCTAGCTACATTCAGTTGATCCCTGATTTGAATAACATTATTGGACAGGTATCGGTTCCACTCAACGGCTTTTCACCAGTCCATTTAGGCCAGATCAGTGAAGGAATGAAGGGAAGCACCTCTTAACGTGTTCGTACATGGCCTAGCTAAATGTGCTGCTTACATTCTCAGGTCCGTAGAGTTGGTCGGCGTATTCGTTTAGCAGGTTGAATGCTTCCGCCGTGCATTTCCTCTCGTTCATATTACAGGTCATGAGAATACCTTGCATGCCCACCTCGAGCTCCCGGGAACCCTTGTACTTCTTACTCCGGTGTCCGCCGCCATAGTGTTTCTTGCTGCGCTTTCTCAAGTCTTGTGCTTCAGACATATTTGATCATATACAGGACTTCTGGCTAATAGTTTGTTAACTGTTAGAAAAAATACATTTACCTGGATAATGTTCTCTATCTAGCTAGTTTCTTGTTTAGCAGTAGCAAGGATAGCAGAGTTGGCTAGCTAGCTAACATGCAAGCTAGCACAACAAACGACACGAGCCGGGATTGCTTACGTTAGCTACCAAACCTCAATCAGTGATCGTACACGTTGGATGAAATGCTAACAATATATCGATTAATTTGCTGAAATACTAGTAAACTTTTATCGTACTGTTCTCAAGTTGAGTCTGAAGGTTTTCGTGGGCTCCTTCGTTCATTCAAACACGCGAGTGTCGCGAAAAACAAGCGTGAGCAGCAATAGTGGAATCGGCGTTTTGCCTTCAAAATAAAAGTCCCCCATTGAAACATGCAAACTGATGAAAATATTGGAATCATGCCACAATTAGACTAGAAATGCTAAACAAGGTTGGAATGTTATATAAATTCAACAAAAGACAATTTGACAACAAAAATGTAAAATCCGTTGAAATCGCACTGTGGATGTATAAACTTCAGAATTGCATTGAGGGCATGCTTATCTTGCAGTGTACATCCATACCCATGTATCTTGGGTCCATGAAATTGGCAGCCTACTCAGTGACACACACAGATTACAATTCTGAAGAGTTTACACAAATATTAGCATCCGTAGCTCAAGGGGTGCCAATAATTAGGGACGTGACTGAGTCATTATTTGACACTTTCCTACTATTGTATGGGAAACTTTTATTTAGAAATTTCCCCAATTCGGTGACCCGGATTTGACTTGTTAGTGCTACTAGCTAACAAAACTCGAAATGCAACATCTCAAGGAAAAGCGTAACTAAATTAGTAGCTAACTGTCGTTGCATCTGCCGAGAAATGTTCCTAAAGTTTTTCACTCGTTGGCCTCTGTCTCATAGCTAACTAACTAGCCTCTAGCTATTTATTTAAGTTGCCATCAAGTGATAGCTAGGCTGGAGAACTATATAAACTAGCCTGTATTCGGCAGAAAAACGTTTATCTTGTCATTTGCCGTGGTAGCCTAACGTTGTATCAAGAACAGTAGTGATACTTAGAACAGTGAATAAGTATTTTTGCGGGTCAATAGAACGCAATTCTCACCAATTGCTTAAGTAAAAGTCTGAAGAATAACTACAACGTCTGAAGAATACAAGAAAAGGTACACAATTTGGTGAATGCACTCTTTTGAAGCTGATACGATGCATTCATATAAATCACATCCACAACCATTATGGATGTGATGGATATAATAACGCTGAAAATGGATACTGACAGCGAAAAGAGAAATCAATTATAGATCATATAACCTTAAGGAAAGTTAGTTTTGCAGAGAAAGTAAGGTGTAGGGCGTTCAAGTCACTGCTGTAGTCTAGAATGTAGAGAAAAACAGGGCAATTCAAGAGGATGCTACGAAATTAATGTCAAAACGTCGTTTTCTTTGCCCTATGTCATTAGACATTATATAAATGTATCATTAGATTATTCTCAACAATATTATAACCTTCATGTACTTGACAGTGTTGATTAAATAAGAACGTTAATTTGCTGTGACCGTTGCTAGTTTAAACGGCACCGCTCTTGCTTGTATCTCTTTCATATTTGGTGTTTCCGCTGGTTGGACCAATCAAAATCAACTTGGTACCATCGTCATTTTCACCTTCAGATACGATCAATCTACGTTGAGAGGGGCCATCGCTATGGCGATTTAAAGGGAAAGACACGATACACAATGAAAACAGGAACAGCTTGTCTTCGCGGAGGGTGGATATTGAAATTCAGTCTGTTAGCTTTGTAAATGCATATATATTTAGTCCCCATTTTTAGTTTTGTATTCAGCGGATTTCATTTAGAAAAATAGCATGTTTTCACTCAGGAACCTGCAGCCGCTAGCTAGCTAGCTTGTCAGTTGACGTTCGAAGTTAGCGCCGTTCTGCCGCGGAGCAGCGTCATAGAGTTCTATTGAGCAGTGACCTCTTTTTCATCGTGCCTGTGATGACATTCCATTCACTCTAAACCTGCTAAATTCTCAGAGTAAATCGTCGGAAACTTTTGAACCATATATGGTAGAGACATGTGGTTTGGACTATTGTTTTTCTGACTGAATTGAATGGACATATTTGTATACACCTTGAATGAAATAATCATTTTATGGGTAAACACCCTATAAGGTGCATGTTTTACAAGAATGTTACATTGCCTGTCCCAGTCACCCTCTACCATTACAAGGCTATAACACTCGCAAATAAAACTCAAGACTTCAATTTGATCTATTGCTTCATTAACATGTCAACTTCATAACAAACACCGTGGGGCAGCTGTGAGTGGAAAAACAAGCTCTGTGAGCCTGTTACAAAAGCCACGGAATATGACTGTCTGAAATGCCTGATTTAAGACGTGCAAATTCATGCAATTTCTTACATACACTGGTAAAATACAGTCTACACTCCAACATATAGACCTCAGGGATAATTAGCAACATGGTGTCATTTGGAAATTACTAACTTTATTTCTGTACGCTCGGGTTGACTTCCCCAGGGACTTGGCCACAGACGATGTCTCCTTTTCTGAATGTGTTCCTGTTTGGTCCCGTTCTTCCCCCAGCGTCGCTGCGTCTTTTGGTTCCTCCACTGCGGCTGGTGTCTGCAGCTCTATGGCAGGTTGTTCAGCGGAGAGACGTCATGGACTACGGCTTGGTGGAGGAGTTTGTCACCACCACCTGTTGTGTTGGACATAGTCCCAGATCTGATGAGTTCCAGAGAGAAAGTCCAACTCATCATGGGTCTGAGAGCACAGGTGAGAGATGGGGGGGGCTGATGGGTGGAGAGTGTAAAGGAGGAACGGGACTCAGGAGAACCCCTTGTTTCAACACCGGGGGTGAGGTAACTTCATTAGATGCATGTAGTTGTTTGGTTATAATCTGGGTAATTCTATATGAAATAATTAACCTGTGAACTAGGCTGTACCACATTGTATTGCTATAGAAATTGGTATAGTCCCATTAAAAAGTATTACCCCACTTGCACAGTTTTCATATTTTCTGAAACATGATGCATCCACCGCCATGCTTGAAATGGCTCCATAGGAAAAGGCTAATCTCAGCTGCAGTCAATACGCTGGTTTTGTTTGCTGGCGCATCCACCAGTATAATTTGATTGAATAATTCTTTTAAAATCCAACTTTTACTCCATCAGCTGGTTCTGGAGTTGTGTCGCTCAGAACACCTAGCCGACTCTGATACCATCCAGCCACGCTCAGAACACCTAGCCGACTCTGATACCATCCAGCCACGCTCAGAACACCGACTCTGATACCATCCAGCCACGCTCAGAACACCTAGCCGACTCTGATACCATCCAGCCACGCTCAGAACACCTAGCCGACTCTGATACCATCCAGCCACGCTCAGAACACCTAGCCGACTCTGATACCATCCAGCCACGCTCAGAACACCTAGCCGACTCTGATACCATCCAGCCACGCTCAGAACAGGATGAGGACCTGTATCATCACTCGTAGAGACAACAAGGTGAGTGCCGCTCAGTGACATTGTAACTCTGCTGGTATTATTTGTAGTGGTTGATAGAGATAGAAAGACGGCTCGTCTTTGCTTCTGTGACAGCATGGGCAGCGCCATTGAGGGCTATCTCCATTTTAAAGTAGTCAATTTTCTTCTTAGTACAAAGCTAATATTGGTGATTTACCTCCTCCTGCAGTGCTGGAGTCCTGAACCAAATTGTGTGTCAGAGTGCCCACAAGATGGCAGTAATATATGCTTAAGCCATTGACAAACCATAGGCAACCCATTTAGAAGAAGAAGACAACGCTCTGATCATTGGCTGAACCCATAGGAATCCCCACCCAGTGGACAACTTTATAATGGTGGAAGCCCTCAATGGTATTTATCCATGATGAAAATGGGTTAGTCCCGTGTAGCTCAGTTGGTAGAGCATGGCGGTTGCAACGCCAGGGTTGTGGGTTCGATTCCCACGGGGGACTAGTATGAAAATGTATGCACTCACTTAACTGTAAGTCGCTCTGGATTAGAGCATCTGCTAAACGACTGAAATGTTATATCCATCCAGAGCCTTCTTTTTACCTCTATGGTTTTCAAATCATTACAGCAGTCTCAACCCCTCGGGGGAAAAAAGGTTTGTGATAACCAGTGATGTAGTGGTAATAAATAGGTGGGGAAACGCTGATCCCCGTTCACAGTGAGTAAGGTAACTACACTTTCAATGCATTTTCCGACAAAAGTTGGGTAAACGCTGGCGCAAAATAAGAAAGGTACGTCAATGGCGTTCACACAGCTTCCGTTGTCACGTGCTCTGGTTAACCAGGCAAGGTGTTATAGATGCTGGCTCTTTTGATTTATTCACTGTGCTATCCTCCATACTTGCTGTAGATTTCTGATCCTGAGGTGGAGGCATCAGAATCCCAACTTCCTGAAGCTGATTCAAACACGGCTGGAAGACCCAGTTGAGAAAGAGAGAGAGAAGGCTTCTTTCAGGTCAGTGACTAAGCAGCTGCTGGTGACGAGGAGGTGGTGAACAAGAGGAGGATAATAACTCCAAGGGGTTGAATGCTTTGACAAGGTAGTATTCAATGTTTACATTCAAAAGCATCTCTACTTGTTTGGTTGTTTCTTAGAAGGTTTTTCTGGAGGAATTCGGCCCAAAGTATCACTCCGCACTGCAGACTCTGGTGTGGGAGTTCCTCCAGGCTGGAGAAGCTGCTTCCAACACCAACCCTTCAACAGGTACCACCATAACGTCTTACTACCTTCATCAAATCAATTCGAATTGTATTTGTCACCTGCGCCGAATACAACAGGTGTAGACCTTACCGTGAAATGCTTACTTACAAGCCCTAAACCAACAATGCAGTTTTAAGAAAATAGAGTTAAGAAAATATTTACTAAATAAACTAAAGTTATATATTTTTTAATTACACAATAAAATAACAATACGTTTTGGAGGCAATATTGCCAGCAATGGTTGCTGCAAAACCTTTCCATTGAAAATGAGCAACTTTTTATAATCTGGGGAATCTGGCCAATTTCTAGGAATCCTCCAATCAGAGCGCAGATATTGGTCATGTGATCAGCCTGACATTGTAAAATATTTTGGAAAGCATGTTGGAGGTTTTTGAGCTGAATGAGAGAAAAACAACTCCCATTTTGGAGTGAAATGTTGACTATTCACGTCTCAAATGTTTCCTCACTACAATATTTGATCATGATACGTTAATACAGATATACTGTTTTTAGTTTGTCATGTTTCACTGACAAAAATGTCCACGCTAGGGCGCATGCTAATCGATTAGCATGCTAATTGAATCCCATGTATAGTCAATAGTACAAACTGGCTCAATTAGCCAGCTAACTAGCCACATAGATTGTTAGCTAGCTATATCCATTTACATTTAGTTTTAGTGTACACTACCAGTCAAAAGTTTGGACACACCTACTCATTCAAGGGTTTTTCTTTATTTTTACTATTTTCTACATTGTAGAATAATAGTGAAGAGATCAAACTATGAAATAACACATATGGAATTATGTATTAACCAAAAAAGTGTTAAACAAATCAAAATATATTTTATATTTGAGATTCTTCAAAGTAGCCACCCTTTGCCTTGATGACAGCTTTGCACACTCTTGGCAAAAACGTTTAATAGTTTAAAAAGTTGTATATAAGCACACTATTCCAGACCAGTCTACACGTTTTAAAGTTTGAATGGCCTTTCTAGCTTAAACGGTGTAAGAGGAGTAGTGATCCAAAGAACAATTACAAGGCAGAAATAAGTTGTACATTATTTAGACACATTAATACAACCGTGTTTCTCCAGGACGCTGACAATGTGCCTGAACAGTATAAAACGCATAATGGTATAGAATAAAATATATCTTTATGCATCTATTCATCCAATGAATGGACATTTTGCATATCCTACAATGTAAAAAAAAAAAGTAAAAATAAAGAATGAGTAGGTGTGTCCAAACTTTTGACTGGTAGTGTACACTAAAACTAAATGTAAATGGATATAGCTAGCTAACAATCTATGGGGCTAGTTAGCTGGCTAATTGAGACAGTTTGTACCATTGACTATACATGGGATTCGATAAGCTTGCTAATCGATTAGCATTCGCCCCAGCGTGGACATTTTTGTCAGTTAAACATGACAAACTGAAAACAGTATATATGTGTTAACGTATCATGATCAAATATTGTAGTGAGGAAACATTTGAGACGTGAATAGTCAACATTTCCCTCCAAAATTTGAGTTGTTTTTTTCTCACTTCAGCTCAAAAACCTCCGCCATGTTTTCCAAAATATTTTACAACATCAGGCTGATCTCATGACCAATATCTGCGCTCTGATTGGAGGATTCCTAGAAATTGTCCAGATTCCCCAGATTATAAAAAGATGCTCATTTTCAATGGAAAGGTTTTGCAGCAACCATTGCTGGCAATATTGCCTCCAAAAATTGCTAGTGTATCATCAGCTAAATCGTCTCTGCTATTTAAATCTGAAATCAGAACACAAATAACTTCTACCAATCAAGAGGTACTGCTGTTTTAGTAACTGCATCAACTACATTTCCTCTGACGGCCTCCCGAGTGGCGCAACGGTCTAAGGTACTGCGCTGCAGTGTTGCGGCGTCACTACAGCCTGGGTTCGATCCCAGGCTGTGTCACAACCGACCGGGAGTCCCATAGGGCGTCGTCCAGGTTAGGGAAGGGTTTGGCCGGGGGGGGGGGGGGGGGGGGGGACTTTACTTGGCTCATCGCGCTCTAGCGACTCCTTGTGGCGGGCCGGGCGCCTGCAGGCTGACTTCGGTCGTCAGTTGAACAGTGTTTCCTCCGACACATTGATGCGGCTGGCTTCTGGGTTAAGAGAGTGGGTGTTAAGAAGCGCGGTTTGGCGGGTCGTGTTTCGGAGGACACATTACTCGACCTTCGGCTCTCCCGAGCCCGTTGGGGAGTTGCAGCGATGTGACAAGATTGTAATAACGAAATTGGGGAGAAAAAGGGGGTACAAATTACACACAAAAAATATAAATAAATAACTGAAATGTTTACCACTTTCTCAACAAGTTAGAAAAAAACTTAGAGGGTATGAAATAGTGGTGTACTTCTCTGCCAATTCAAGTCTGAAATCAGAACAGAAATATCTACTACCAATCAAGTCTCTCCTCACCCTTTCATCCCTTCATCCATTAGGCAGGCATCTATCCATTTACTTATCCATTCTATTTATTTATCTAGCTTCCAGTCATAACTTTAAAAACCTGTCTATCCCCTAGCATATGTCATATTTCATATAATACTACTGCTACTTTCTTTTGTTCTTTATTTCTGTCTTTCGTTTATCCAATAAAATATATATATATATATTTATTTATTTATTATCGGCTAAAATCTGTCTAACCCTGCAGCTTTATTAGGCCATCTTTTTTGACAACATTGAATTATCAAGAGCCAGATGCACCATCAATCATGTTTTTCTCCCTAAATAATAGTTTAACTTTAAAACGTGTAGACTGGTCTGGAATAGTTTGATAACATTTACACTTTTTGAACTATTAAACCTTTTGTCCTTAAAAAAACCTCATCCACTTTAATGGGATTTCTTCAACATTCTAATGTAAATGTCTCATTGTTGAAAACTCCCAGACTTCCAACATTCTATTCACTGTAAACAATGTAACTTTTGCCACTAATCAGCTACTTTCACCACTTTCCCAACAAGTTAGCCAAAAACTTAGCGCGTACAACATCTTAAGGCTGGTTTATACTTGGTCTAACAACGTGTTTGTAGACAATTAGAATTCGACAAGTGTCGTTGGTCAAAACAACATTTAATTTATACTCCAGTGGAATGTCTGTAGACCGTCGCTGCGACTGTCGGTTTCCATGTTCATGTTGCAGACAGAAAATTGAACTTTCACCCTGTTTCAGCATCTGTTGTCATGGTTACCAGAAACGAGAGTGCACACGTTCTAAAAATCTCTGTTAGAATGCCCTGCTTTTATTTCGTCACATTTTTGTTGTAATTTATCTTCCTGTAATAATGAATACAAATTAGCTAATGTTAAGATGTTGTCAGCTATGCTCTGGTCATTATTTTAACTGGCTAGTCAGCTAGCTAACAAGCTAGAAACGAACCAAAACATTGCTTTTAGTTGCCTGGCTTGCTAGATTGACATATACTAAATTCATTTTTAGACGGATGGGTGTATTGGTGTTAAAATACCGCAGTTATGCTATTTGGACCACCATGCTGTTGATGTCATGCAGCCTGACGTTTTTGTGTTTATATTTTTTCAAAACAACGACAAGTTTGATGTCAGATGACAATAGAATGTTCATGATGTCACTGAGACAACTGTCTACAGACACGTCGATAGACCAACTGTAAACAAGCCTTAAGTCTACTTCTCCGCTATTCAAATCGGAAATCAGAACAGAAATCTCTTCTTCCAATCCATCAAAAGTTTCAGCTGTTTCAAACTATACTGAACAAAAATATAAACGCAACATGTAAAAGTGTTGGTCCCATGTTTCATGAGCTGAAATAAAAGATCCCAGAAATGTTCCATATGCACAAAAAGCGTATTTCTCTCAAATTTTGCGCACTAATTTGTTTACATCCCTGTTAGCGTTTCTTCTTTGCCAAGATAATCCATCCACCTGACAGGTGTGCCATATCAAGAAGCTGATTAAACAGCAGGATCATTACACAGGTGCACCTTGTGCTTGGGACAATAAAAGGCCAACCTAAAATGTGCAGTTTTGTCACACAACACAATGCCACATATGTCTCAAGTTTTGAGGGAGCGTGCAATTGGAGTGCTGACTGCAGGAATGTCCACCAGAGCTGTTGCCAGATAATTGAATGTTAATTTCTCTACCAAAAGCGTAGTTTTAGAGAATTTGGCAGTATGTCCAACCGGCCTCACAACCGCAGACCATGTGTAACCACACCAGCCCAGGACCTCCACATCCAGCTTCTTCACCTGTCTGACACCAGCCACCCAAACAGCTGATGAAACTGAGGAGTATTTATGTGTATAATAAAGCTCTTTTGTGGGGAAAAACTCATTCTCATTGGCTGGGCCTGGCTCCCAAGTGGGTGGGCCTATGCCCTCCCAGGCCCACCTATGGCTGCGCCCCTGCCCAGTCATGTGAAATCCATAGATTAGGGCATAATTAATTTATTTCAATTGACTGATTTCCTTTTATGAACTCTAACTCAGTAAAATCGTTGAAATTGTTGCATGTTGCGTTTATATTTTTGTTCAGTGTACATTTTCTCTTTTAGTTATCTTTATAACTGGCAGTTTGACCACTTTCTCAACAAGTTAGACAAAAACGTAGTGTATGAAATCTTAGTCTTACTTCTCTGCTTTTCAAATCTAAAATCAGAACACTTCTTCCACCACCACAAAAATACTTTCAAAGAGCTCAAGCAAGTCACACAATTTTTCTTCATGGACAATTACCATCTAGTTGCTTGTATTAAAAGTTCACAAGGTAATTTGAATTACTTGTATTAGTTCTACTACAGTCATTGAACTTTTACAGGACATGGATGGCAATAACTGCTTTTTTTGTGTGTAAAAAAAACAACAAATAATAGTAAAGACATTTAAATCACCAAAAAGTGGGCAACAAGGTTATGATATTTTAGAACTTCATCTATTGTCATTGTCAAGCCATTCTCTTTCCAATAGACTGCATCTTGGTTTCTACCTGACCCCTCTGTCCTGGAGGAGTGTGTGCAGACTGGCAGACTGTGTCACCCTCAACCTTTGAGAACCCTTCTCCAGTCCCACACCAACCCTTCTCCGGTCCCACACCAATCCTTCTCCAGTCCCACACCAATCCTTCTCCGGTCCCACACCAACCCTTCTCCGGTCCGACACCAACCCTTCTCCGGTCCCACACCAACCCTTCTCCGGTCCCACACCAATCCTTCTCCGGTCCCACACCAATCCTTCTCCAGTACCACACCAACCCTTCTCCGGTCCCACACCAATCCTTCTCCGGTTCCACACCAACCCTTCTCCAGTCCCACACCAACCCTTCTCCGGTCCCACACCAATCCTTCTCCGGTCCCACACCAACCCTTCTCCAGTCCCACACCAACCCTTCTCCAGTCCCACATGTTGAGGCCAATGGTAGGAGAAGACTTTTGAAAATGAAGGAATGATAATGTAATGTTTTACGGTTTGACTTTCATGTTTTGATATTGGCTTTTCTTCTTCTCTTGTCCTCAGCTCTGTCATCTGGAGACAATCACATCCTCGCCTCGCTGTCTCCATCTCCTCTAGAATCATTCACAGACCCAGACATCCAATCAGAACCCATACAGGCATGTATGACTAAAAAGTATTTAGTCAGCCACCAATTGTGCAAGTTCTCCCACTTAAAAAGATGAGAGAGGCCTGTAATTTTCATCATAGGTACACGTCAACTATGACAGACAAAATGAGGAAAAAAAATCCAGAAAATCACATTGTAGGATTTGTAATGAATTTATTTGCAAATTATGGTGGAAAATAAGTATTTGGTCAATAACAAAAGTTTCTCAATACTTTGTTATATACCCTTTGGCAATGACACAGGTCAAATGTTTTATGTAAGTCTTCACAAGGTTTTCACACACTGTTGCTGGTATTTTGGCCCATTCCTCCATGCAGATCTCCTCTAGAGCAGTGATGTTTTGGGGCTGTCGCTGGGCAACACAGACTTTCAACTCCCTCCAATGATTTTTCCATGGGGTTGAGATCTGGAGACTGGCTAGGCCACTCCAGGACCTTGAAATGCTTCTTACGAAGCCACTCCTTCGTTGTCCGGGCGGTGTGTTTGGGATCATTGTCATGCTGAAAGACCCAGCCACGTTTCATCTTCAATGCCCTTGCTGATGGAAGGAGGTTTTCACTCAAAATCTCACTATACATGGCCCCATTCATTCTTTCCTTTACACGGATCAGTCGTCCTGATCCGTGCTTCACAGTAGGTATGGTGTTCTTTGGATGCAACTCAGCATTCTTTGTCCTCCAAACACGACGAGTTGAGTTTTTACCAAAAAGTTCTATTTTGGTTTCATCTGACATTCTCCCAATCCTCTTCTGGATCATCCAAATGCACTCTAGCAAACTTCAGACGGGCCTGGACATGTACTGGCTTAAGCAGGGGGACACATCTGACACTGCAGGATTTGAGTCCCTGGCGGCGTAGTGTGTTACTGATGGTAGGCTTTGTTACTTTGGTCCCAGCTCTCTACAGGTCATTCACTAGGTCCCCCTGTGTGGTTCTGGGATTTTTGCTCACCGTTCTTGTGATCATTTTTACCCCACGGGGTGAGATCTTGCGTGGAGCCCCAGATCGAGGGAGATTATCAGTGGTCTTGTATGTCTTCCATTTCCTAATAATTGCTCCCACAGTTGATTTCTTCAAACCAAGCTGCTTACCTATTGCAGATTCAGTCTTCCCAGCCTGGTGCAGGTCTACAATTTTGTTTCTGGTGTCCTTTGACAGCTCTTTGGTCTTGGCCATAGTGGAGTTTGGAGTGTGACTGTTTGAGGTTGTGGACAGGTGTCTTTTATACTGATAACAAGTTCAAACAGGTGCCATTAATACAGGTAACGAGTGGAGGACAGAGGAGCCTCTTAAAGAAGAAGTTACAGGTTTGTGAGAGCCAGAAATCTTGCTTGTTTGTAGGTGACCAAATACTTATTTTCCACCATAATTTGCAAATAAATTCATTAAAAATCCTACAATGTGATTTTCTGGATTTTTTTTTCTCAATTTGTCTGTCATAGTTGACGTGTACCTATGATGACAATTACAGGCCTCTCTCATCTTTTTAAGTGGGAGAACTTGCACAATTGGTGGCTGACTAAATACTTTTTTTCCCCACTGTACATGATGGATCATTAGCTTATACACTAACTTTCACACATCTAGATGGCCGAGTGGGGTGGTTGTGGAGCCAGAGACAGCAAGGGTTCAAACTGTAGAACCCAGTTCCTATATTTGAATATAAAAATGGATTTGATCAAACAAAACTATGCTACATTTTATCTCTGGGACCCTCAGGATGACAAATCAGAGCAAGATTACTGAATGTACATTATTTACCTTCAGAGGTGAATGTATCAAACCAGTTGCCGTGATACGTTTTTTGTTGTTGTGCACTCTCCTCAAACAATAGCATGGTATTTTTTCACTGTAATAGCTACTGTAAATTGGACAGTGCAGTTAGATTAACAAGAATTGAAGCTTTCTGCCCATATAAGACATGTCTATGTTCTGGAAAGTTTGCTGTTACTTACAACAGTCATGCTAATCACATTAGCGCACATTAGCTCAACCGTCCCGTATACGAGACACTGATCCCGTAGAGGTTAACAGTAACAACCAATAGTTAGTGTAATACCAACATGTACCTGGTGGTAATTGCGGTCTGTAATTACAAAGGTGTAACAACGAATGCTTGTTACAAATGGGTTTCCACTAAATTCACCAACTTTGTTTTGTTTGTTCTCAGCTGATTCAGTAACAACTGTCACAAAGGTCGTGACCCCTCGTGGACGCTCTGGGTGTCCGAGAGATTTTGTTCAATGGGCTCTAATTACTTACCCATGAAATGTGCACTGTTGAAAATATATCTCCACTCAATGTTAATGCTAGCACTCGCCACCAAAATAAAGTATACCATCTGGGTTAATTTGGTCATCCCAGATCAGGAAAAACACACTGTTTCAAAGCATAGTACAAGTCATGTTTGCTTAAGTACAATGTAATTACTAGTTGTTACACAGGATTTAGATAGTTAAAATGAAGTGTATCTTGAGGGGTACTTACTTGTAACTAATGTGTACTTCACATCCTGACAACCTGGCCCTCATTTTAAAGCTTCTGGAAGTTTCCTTTCTGTACCTTATTGTGAAATTAAGTGAAACTTCCAGAAGCTTAATAATGAGGGCCAGGTTGGATTTTTTTGTTGTTGTTGACACATTTAACCCCTTATTTTTGTCGGCACAAAACTACCTCCATACATCCATTCATTTGTATGGGTTACCTTCAGACGAGTCCCTTGACACTTGTGGGGTTCGTAGAGCAGAACGGAGAACACTATCGTCTTCGTGAGAGTCTAATCTTTCCATATTAGTTTGTAGGCCAAACCGTTCGACGCTACAGACGTTTTTGTGAGAAGACAGATTTTCGGGATGTCTCATGGTCTGACAAACACCTCTGTAGCTCAGCCACCTTCCACCACAGATGCGGAAGGCCAACAGGCTGTTGCGGTGGATTGAGACACAGCCCATGCAGATATCTGTAGCTTAAACGGACAGACTTTTATGGGAATTGTTTTATTATGTAACTTAGATCAGGGTTTTCCAAACTCGGTCCCGGGGCGCGTTTTGGTTTTTGCCCTAGCACTACAGAGCTGATTCAAATAACCAACTCATCATCAAGCTTTGATGATTATTTGAATCAGCTGTGTAGTGCTAGGGCAAAAACCAAAAACGTGCACCTGGGTAGAATTTTGTTTTTGATTTGAATAAAGACGTGCTAAAGTGCCAAAATTCAGCATTTTGACCCTCCGTGTACCCTCTGTGACTGATTTTAACCCACACGTCTCCAAGTTTTTACCATCATTGTAAAACCCTAGTTATTTTGTTGTTTTGAATTTCTGAAGATTAATATTTATTTAATGTGATTAGTGATTCATTTTAAGGTTAAAAAAAGAAGAAGAAAAAAAGGTCCCTTGTGCTAAGGTCAACCCTGTTACGTGAACTGAACTCTCGTCTTAATATGGTGAAACTATTCCTTAAAAAAAAAACATTCTAAATAAGCATTTAACATTATGTAATAGTCAAATCATAGTGTAAAAGCAGGTGAGCTGGTTCTACACTTTTTTGGCATTTTCTGGTGTTTAGTGGTGGAAAACTGAGTGGGTTGAGCATAACACTTCAACCCTGTTACTCATAGATAGACAGGCTAGAAATGTTTTAATTTAAATAAATAAAATTGGGGGGGGGGGGGGGGGGGGAAGCTTGCATTCAATTGCCCCTCCCTGTTTAACACAACAAGCTTCCATTACCCCTGTCAGGAGGGGATTTATGGCTGATTTAAGATGAAATCATTAACCCTGTTACTTTATTTGGCACTTATTTTTTTATTTAACCTCTTGAGATGGGAAAACGTGTTTTTTATTAAGTTGAACATGTGCTCTTTATGACTGAATGTTAAAATTAGGTGAAATCTAGTTTTTTCCCCACATCTCAAAAGGCACCGAATTGGTGGAACGACCCTTATGAGTTTATTTCAGAAATGTTTCAGGACCTCTGTGACACGAGATGGCGACACGGACCTAAAATAACTTTCGCATTGCATATAGATGGACTACCGAAGAAGAAGCAACGCGGAGTCCGGAACGGGACAGCTAAGGTAGCATGCATTTACAGGTATCTAAATTTCACATTCCTCTATACCTACCGATTGAATACATTATAAAGTCAGGTTATTGTATTGTTCCCAAACAGATCGTTGAAACATGGTGTTGAAGCGTTCTATCCGCTATGCTCAACAAAGCGCAAGTGGTGGAAAAACTGGCCGAGTTGCGACCTATACGACGGGCCGCACAGCTCACCGTTTATGCCTTGATGAAGGCAAAAATGGCCGGAAAAGATGCGACAACCAAACTGCTGAAGTTCAAAACAGTTCGCCAGATACAACATGAGGCGTCGGGACTGCCTAAAAACGTCGGGGAGATGGGGAGAAAAGCCGGAAGACTCCGGGATTCTTTAGTAAAGGATGTGAAAGACGGGATAAGGGACGCTTCGAAACAAGTTAAAGACAAGGACAAATGATGCTGTGTTAAAGAACTGAAACCAAATAGCCTACAATTAGGCCTTAAAATATACTGTCAATACCGGTCTCCTTTAGCTCTCAAAAACGCTATTCTGACTAGTATTCTGCCAGAAGCAGAAACGATGACGTCACGTGTGTATGGTAATAGCGAACCTTCAAAATAAAAGCCCGCAATTTCAAAACATTGCAACTGGGATAATTAATTCAAAAAGATATTACAAGATATTACATTTGAATCAATGTCCATTTTTTGTGATTATAAGTAAATGCAAGGAGTACTTTATGGAAACAATTACAAACATGCTTCAAAAACATTTAAGACCACTATCGAAAAATACAGTGTCCAGATTGGTATATTCACAATATTGGGCTGTAGAGAAAAAAACGATTCTATGTGTCTGAACTTCAAGGTGGGGTTGGGATTAGTCAATAGGGTCTGTAGAATCTATATATGGTTTTATTTGTTGGGGGACTGGGGTCTAAATACCCAGCATCACTTTCTACTCCACCCACTTGGTTCCAATGCAGGCCTAGACCATATATCATCTACATTTTAGTCATTTAGCAGTTGCTCTTATCCAGAGAGACTTACAGTAGTGAGTGCATACGTTTCCATAGGCTACATGTGGGAATCGAACCCACAACCCTGGCGATGCAAGCGCCATGCTCTACCAACTGAGCCACACGTATTAGATTCTACAGACCCTACTAAGTGATCCCAACCGCACTTTTGACTTCGGCACATGGAATCGTTTTTTTCCCCTCTAGAAGCCAATATGTCGTTTCTAGTCCTAATAGTCTATTAAATTGGGACCAATGGAGCAGAAAGGGCTTCTGGGTATTTAGTCGTCAGTCCCCCATGAAGTAACGCCATATATACCAGTGGGGTGCCAAATAATTGACACCCTTGTTAAAGATGAGCAATGATGACTGTATAAAATAAATAATTCAAATACTGAGCTGTATTGTATGCTTAAAACATTTGGGAAATGATATTATGTTATACTAATACAATTGCTCAGGAGAAAGAGATTTTCATTTAACAAGTAATCATTAAAAAAATAAATTGGACACCCCCTAAAGATTCTTATAAAGTAGTCAAAAGTTTAGTATTTGGTCCCATATTCCTAGCGCGCAATGACTACATCAAGCGTGTGACTCTACAAAACTTGTTGGGATGCATTTGCAGTTCGTTTTGGTTGTGTTTGAGATTATGTTGTGCCCAATAGAAATGAAGGGTAAATAAGTGTCATTTTGGCGTAACAAAAACAAAAAAATCCTAAACACTTTCACATGAATGTGGACGCTACCATGATTACGGATAATCCTGAATGAATTATGAGGGTCAAAGATCATACCCCCAAAACATGCTTACCTCTCACCATTACCAAAAACAGGAGGTTAGCATGTCTTGGGGGTATGATCTTTGACCCACTAACTTTCTCACTCATTATTCACAGTTCATTTTGAAGGCGAACCGCCGATTCCACTATTGTTGCGCATGGAAATGTTGGCGGCTCTAGTACAGGGCGCCAAGAGGGACAATTTGCATTATGTGTAATTCCGTCCTTATTCCATTTTTGGTCTGACTCCAACTGTTACTATTTACAACAATAGAACCCATGTAATAAAATTCATCACATCTTTAATTGTAACTGCTGACCTAAAAAGTATTTTACATCTCATCATGACATCTCACATTATGAGGATCAATTCTATTTAGAAACCGTATAGGAGATTGGTCCAATGAATGCACCAGATTTAGTATGGGGACATAATAAATCATACTCAAATAACACGCATCATACATATTCATAAAGTACAGTTTCAATATGACACCTTTGTTAGGAGAATCTAGAGGAGAATCTCAATTGTATTTCCTAGATTCCTCGTGTCCGCTCTCCTCGCCACCTCAAAACCCATTGGATGAGAAGTCCAATGGGTCCTGAGGAATGAAGTCCAATGGGAACTGAGGAATGAAGGAAACGCTATTGAGATTCTCCAGCTAACTAATAGCTCGTCCTAGATGATGACAGGGGACGAACAACACTGGAGTTGAGACCAAAACACAGAGCGATGGAGGCGGCAGCGGAGGCTGGTGACTTAGCCTGGAGGAGAGCAGACTCCCACTTAAAGAACTCACATCCCTTCCTGGTCCCCCCGGGGCCGGGTTTACGCACCGCACAGCAGTAGAACGCTCGGCCGTGGTTCGGACCTCCGTTACACACCGTTAGACGCTTGGCTCGCCGCCCGCAGTCGCACAGCGGGGCCGTGATCTTGGTGCTGCGGGTCAGCGGGAACGAGGACCGGTTAACGGACGAGGAGAGGATGGAGAACGATCCACCGACAGAAGGACGAGAGACTGAGGAGGAAAGGCAAGAGGAGGCCTTGTGGATCGTGAAAGATGCGTTTGGCGTCTCTGTGTGCAGCCTTGAACGTGAGGTCGATGGGTTAGGGTTATGGACGACAGGTCTGGGCCTGGCAAAGGAAGGATTGGATGCAGAGCCGTTTGGTGTCTGCGTGTGTGAAGCAGAGAGGTTAGAGTCACTGCTGGTGGTAACTGGTTTGGGTCTAGTGAAGGAAGGATTGGGAAGGGTTGTAGTAGAGGACTTGGATGTGAAGGTGTCAGCAGGGTTTTTTGTTGTGAGCGGTCTTGACCGTGTAGCATGGAGGTTGGAGTTCTGGATGACTGTTCTGGGTTTGGCAAAGGAAGGATGGGATGCTGTTGAGGTATTGGATGTGATATAAATGCTGGATGTAGAAGAGGTATTTGAGGCTCTTGGCTTGTCCTTGTAGATCACAAAGGAGTTGTTTGATGTTGCCTTTTGCAGTCTTGACCGTGTATCTGAGCGGTTGGAATCATGGGTAACAGGTCTGGGTTTGTTAAAGGAGGAACTGCATGAACTATTGGACCCAGAGGTGTTGTAGATCCTTGTCGTCTCAGTTTTTGCAGAACTGGAGGATGTTCTTAATTCGTCCTTGTAGATCACAAAGGACTTTTTTGACGTTTCCGTGTTCAGTCTTGACCGCGTATCTGAGAGGTTTGAGCCATGGGTAACCGGTCTGGGTTTGGCAAAAGAAAAACTGGACAAACTATTGGGTGCAGAGGTGTTGTGGGTCCTCGTTGTCTTAGCTTTCAAAGACACCGAGCTACTGGAGGATGTTGTGGTATCGGTGTTGTGTACCAGGCTGGTCAGATGTTGGCAGGGTGTGTTGGTGGTCTTGGAACTAGGCCCACTGTTGGTTGGACCTCTACCAGGATTTGAATGTACTGGGCTCGGACACAGCAAGGTCCTCCCATAGACCGAGGTATCGTCCACCTCAAACCTCTCGTTCTCTGTGTACACGTCAGCAACAGAAGCCTCGTCACCAACCATGACATCCCAGTCCTCCTCCAACGCCACGTCGTCATACGAACCGCACGACTCCGTTTCCACCAAGATGGGCACTTCCTCCTCCATGCTTCCTGTTTCCGGGTCAAGGGTCGGGTCTGGCTGGGGTAGATATGTATTGCAATTCACAGTGGTGGAGACCAGAACGAGGCTGTTGATGTTGTGGTGAGGAGAGGGGATATTGAAAGTCATAGGAGAGGAGACGGACCGTATCGTTCCTATTCGAACTGTTCTGCTGCTACTACCACACATTGGAGTGGTCAGGCCATTTAGAAGGGTCTTTGGTGAAACAATACTCTGATACTGAACAGGTTCAGCGGTTAAGTTGGAATTCACCTCTGTGTTGGGAACCATGTTGTCTGAAGGCTTGGGTCGTGTTTCAACAACGTCTGTGTTGCTAACTGGCTTGCTGTTGGGATGATTTTCCAGATGGCCGCCGATCTCTGTCGTCTTGGAGGGTTTTTTGACAGAGGTGTTGTTATCCCTCTTGTTGCCAGGACAACCATTCCCTGGCGCGTTCCCATTTCCAAACAGGGGTTTGGTTTTCAAAGGCGCCTAAGAGGTAAACAAATAAAATAAATCAATACATTTTTGTTGTTGTATTTTTTTGACCCCCTTTTTCTATCTTATCTCATCGCTGCAACTCCCCAACGGGCTCGGGAGGTTGAGTCATGAGTCCTCCGAAACATGACCCGCCAAACTGCGCTTCTTAACACCCGCCCGGTTAACCTGGAAGCCAGCCGCACCAATGTGTCGGAGGAAACACTGTTCAACTGATGACCAAGGTCAGCCTGCAGGCGCCCGGCCCGCCACAAGGAGTCGCTAGAGCGCAATGAGCCAAGTAAAGCCCCGGCCAAACCCTCCCCTAACCCGTACGACCCTGGGCCAATTGTGCGCTGCCTTATGGGACTCCCGATCACGGCTGGTTGTGATACAGCCTGGGATCGAACCCAAGTCTGTAGTGACGCCTCTAGCACTGCGATGCAGTGCCTTAGACCGCTGCGCCACTCGGGAAGCCCAAGTCAAAACATTTTGGACAAACTTTATTGATAGTCAGTCTAGTAAACAGAGGAGACGAGTCATATTCACTAGAAACCAATTGGAAGAAAACTGACCCGAAACAAGGAGTGACTTCCTGAACTCCAATAAGAAACGAATGTTCATTGCAAAACCTTTTACATTTGCACTAATGTATACGACCCAGGTGTGTATGGAACGGGGGAGAGTCACCTGCATGAGTCTTTACGGGAGGAGGAGTGGGTATTCTGGGGCGTTGACAGAAATCCAAGGGTTCGATGTAGGTCGCCCCTGTGTTAGTCTTTAGGGGCGTAGTACAGTAGGCCGGGGGTCGTCAGCACGGTGGGGTCGTTAGAACTGGGGGTTGGTCAGGAAGCCACTCACCCGCTCCAGACGGCGCGTAATCTTCATCACACAGCCATCCCTCATCATTCTCCAGGCCAGGTGGGCCGTGTTGCGGGCGTCGTCCAGACCTGCAAATAACATTCAACAACTATTTCTGTGCCTAGATTTTCAAAAATGCTGAAGATAAATATTAATGTTGTTTTATATTAATGTTATTCATTGTAACTGTGTTATGGTCGTCGTCCACACCTTCAAACAATATTTTTTTATTATTCACAGTAACTGACAAGGATGACTGGAGTCTTGTGTGTATGTTTTGATCATAATGTTATTAAATGACTAGTGCTAAGCGATTAGTGCTTTTTGAGGATGGTTCGGTTTCGGTTCGATTATAAAAAATAATCACGGTTTTCGATTATTTGGGTTGAATGCTGTAACAACAGAATAAAACTATTAAGAAAAGTCCCATGATGGTAGTGACTGACCATTACTGCTTATCACTTATTAACCATTTATTCACATTACTTTAATAAAATATTTCAGTCGTTGTGTTTATTACATTAGTTTTATTTGATGACTATCATTTCATTCCAAGTCATCATCTCATCTCTATAGAGCTGCTGTCTGACAAAATCACTATTTTAGTAGTTCTTCAAAGTAAATAAGGCAGACTTTTATGACTGCTGAACACCGACTATCAATCACTTAGATCATGTATTTTCAGGTAGAGAAACCTCACGAAGCAACAGCTGTGCTCTTCTGCCTCTTCCGTAGCAGGGCATAAAATAAACACAGACTGGACAAGTAGATGAGCAATGGACTATGGTTATTGTAGTTATTTACCATATTTTATGCGCTAAACTATGTAGATTACTGGCCTGTTGGAAACTACAACTCCCTACTACATTGCACAGTTTAGGCTGGATCCGATTTATTGCATTTGAACTGCAACGTGCGCATTGAGCTCACAGAAGGGAAAAAATGAACTAAATGGAATTCTAATAATTGAACCGACGTTGGTCAATTAGTTGCTTAAAAACAGCAAAATAACCAACATTTCTGTTAATCGCTCAGCACTATAAATGCAATTAGAGATATGCCTTTGGTTTGTGTGTGTGTTTGTTTGTACCTGAGTGCTCCCGTCCAGAGAACTGAATCCCCAGATCCTGTAAAGCTCCATTCAGTCCCTTGGGTTTTCTGTTGTAGAACAGCTGAGACAGACACATGAGTTAGACTGGGATACCATTAACATACACACACACACAACACCAACACCAACACACAACACCAACACCAACACCAACACACAACACCTACCCTGTACGTAGCTCTCAGGTCTATCCAGCTGTTCAGAACATCAGGTTTGTGGAGCTGCTTCCGTTTACACTCATACAGCAGACACACCCCCAGGTCCCAGTCTGGAACAATAGAACACAGATAATCCATCCATCAGTCATACAGCAGACACACCCCCAGGTCCCAGTTTGGAACAATAGAACACAGATAATCCATCCATCAGTCATACAGCAGACACAACCCCCAGGTCCCAGTCTGGAACAATAGAACACAGATAATCCATCCATCAGTTCATACAGCAGACACACCCCCAGGTCCCAGTCTGGAACAATAGAACACAGATAATCCATCCATCAGTCATACAGCAGACACACCCCCAGGTCCCAGTCTGGAACAATAGAACACAGATAATCCATCCATCAGTTCATACAGCAGACACACCCCCAGGTCCCAGTCTGGAACAATAGAACACAGATAATCCATCCATCAGTCATACAGCAGACACAACCCCCAGGTCCCAGTCTGGAACAATAGAACACAGATAACCATCCATCAGTCATACAGCAGACACACCCCAGGTCCCAGTCTGGAACAATAGAACACAGATAATCCATCCATCAGTCATACAGCAGACACACCCCCAGGTCCCAGTCTGGAACAATAGAACACAGATAATCCATCCATCAGTCATACAGCAGACACACCCCCAGGTCCCAGTCTGGAACAATAGAACACAGATAATCCATCCATCAGTCATACAGCAGACACACCCCCAGGTCCCAGTCTGGAACAATAGAACACAGATAATCCATCCATCAGTCATACAGCAGACACACCCCCCAGGTCCCAGTCTGGAACAATAGAACACAGATAATCCATCCATCAGTCATACAGCAGACACACCCCCAGGTCCCAGTCTGGAACAATAGAACACAGATAATCCATCCATCAGTCATACAGCAGACACACCCCCAGGTCCCAGTCTGGAACAATAGAACACAGATAATCCATCCATCAGTCATACAGCAGACACACCCCCAGGTCCCAGTCTGGAACAATGAACACAGATAATCCATCCATCAGTCATACAGCAGACACACCCCCAGGTCCCAGTCTGGAACAATAGAACACAGATAATCCATCCATCAGTCATACAGCAGACACACCCCCAGGTCCCAGTCTGGAACAATAGAACACAGATAATCCATCCATCAGTCATACAGCAGACACACCCCCAGGTCCCAGTCTGGAACAATAGAACACAGATAATCCATCCATCAGTCATACAAGCAGACACACCCCCCAGGTCCCAGTCTGGAACCAATAGAACACACGAATAAATCCATCCATCAGTCATACAGCAGACACACCCCCAGGGTCCCAGTCTGGAACAATAGAACACAGATGAATCCATCATCAGTCATACAGCAGACACCACCCCCAGGTCCCAGTCTGGAACAATAGAACACAGATAATCCATCCATCAGTCATACAGCAGACACACCCCCAGGTCCCAGTCTGGAACAATAGAACACAGATAATCCATCATCGTCATACAGCAGACACACCCCCAGGTCCCAGTCTGGAACAATAGAACACAGACACACCCCCAGGTCCCAGTCTGGAACAATAGAACACAGATAATCCATCCATCATCATACAGCAGACACACCCCCAGGTCCCAGTCTGGAACAATAGAACACAGATAATCCATCCATCATCATACAGCAGACACACCCCCAGGTCCCAGTCTGGAACAATAGAACACAGATAATCCATCCATCAGTCATACAGCAGACACACCCCCAGGTCCCAGTCTGGAACAATAGAACACAGATAATCCATCCATCAGTCATACAGCAGACACACCCCCAGGTCCCAGTCTGGAACAATAGAACACAGATAATCCATCCATCAGTCATACAGCAGACACACCCCAGGTCCCAGTCTGGAACAATAGAACACAGATAATCCATCCATCATCATACAGCAGACACACCCCCAGGTCCCAGTCTGGAACAATAGAACACAGATAATCCATCCATCAGTCATACAGCAGACACACCCCCAGGTCCCAGTCTGGAACAATAGAACACAGATAATCCATCCATCAGTCATACAGCAGACACACCCCCAGGTCCCAGTCTGGAACAATAGAACACAGATAATCCATCCATCATCATACAGCAGACACACCCCCAGGTCCCAGTCTGGAACAATAGAACACAGATAATCCATCCATCAGTCATACAGCAGACACACCCCCAGGTCCCAGTCGGGAACAATAGAACACAGATAATCCATCCATCAGTCATACAGCAGACACATCCCCCAGGTCCCAGTCTGGACAATAGAACACAGAAACCATCATCATCATACCAGAGCACACCAGTCCATTAACATATAAACGTTCCCTCCTGTCATACCGACACACCCAGCCCTGGCGTTGCAAAGACCAGTCTATCCATCCAGTCATCCTCAGCAGACCACCCCCAGTCCCCTCGGACTAGAACACGATAAGTCCATTCCCCCATGCAGACCACCCCCGGTCCCGCGGCACAGAGCCGGATTCGAACCAGGATCTCTAGTACACAGTTACACCGCAGTCTGGAAAATAGAACACAGATAATCCATCCATCAGTCATACAGCAGACACACCGCCAGGTCCCAGTCTGGAACAATAGAACACAGATAATCCATCCATCAGTCATACAGCAGACACACCGCCAGGTCCCAGTCTGGAACAATAGAACACAGATAATCCATCCATCAGTCATACAGCAGACACACCCCCAGGTCCCAGTCTGGAACAATAGAACACAGATAATCCATCCATCAGTCATACAGCAGACACACCCCCAGGTCCCAGTCTGGAACAATAGAACACAGATAATCCATCCATCAGTCATACAGCAGACACACCCCCAGGTCCCAGTCTGGAACAATAGAACACAGATAATCCATCCATCAGTCATACAGCAGACACACCCCCAGGTCCCAGTCTGGAACAATAGAACACAGATAATCCATCCATCAGTCATACAGCAGACACACCCCCAGGTCCCAGTCTGGAACAATAGAACACAGATAATCCATCCATCAGTCATACAGCAGACACACCGCCAGGTCCCAGTCTGGAACAATAGAACACAGATAATCCATCCATCAGTCATACAGCAGACACACCCCCAGGTCCCAGTCTGGAACAATAGAACACAGATAATCCATCCATCAGTCATACAGCAGACACACCCCCAGGTCCCAGTCTGGAACAATAGAACACAGATAATCCATCCATCAGTCATACAGCAGACACACCCCCAGGTCCCAGTCTGGAACAATAGAACACAGATAATCCATCCATCAGTCATACAGCAGACACACCCCCAGGTCCCAGTCTGGAACAATAGAACACAGATAATCCATCCATCAGTCATACAGCAGACACACCCCCAGGGCCCAGTCTGGAACAATAGAAGACAGAATCAACCAACCAATCCAGTTGAACAAGGTTATCCCCATTAAATGTTTGAGACTGTACTAAAGTGTGAACATTTCCTTATTTTATCTCAATTTTAACAAAGAATACACTGGAAAGGCAACAATATTCTACTGTATCTTAGTCCATGCGGCTCTGTCATTGCTCGTCCATATATGTATATATTCTTAAATTCCTTACTAGATTTGTGTGTATTGGGTATATGTTGTGAAATTGTTAGATATTACTACACTGTCGGAGCTAGAAGCACAAGCATTTCGCTACACCCGCAATAACATCTGCTAAACACGTGTATGTGACAAATAAAATGTGATTGTTTTTTTTGGTCAGATATGAGTACTGGACCTACAGAGGAAAGGAGGGAAATAAGAATTTCAAAACGTTTCCTCCTATTTGAAGGTGACCCGGGTAACCTTTCCTATCTAAGCTACTATACCTGACCAGGTGACGAAGGCACAGGGGCGCTGCTCCACGGCTGGAGCCCTCTGGTCCCTGGGGAAGACCACACCCCTCTGGTGCTCCAGAGTCGACAGCCACCGGGAGAACCGGGACAGACAGATGTGGAGGGGAACCCCGGCCTCCACCTGTTGCTGGAAACAAAATTAATAATAAACAGTGTGTGTGAGAGTGTGTGTGAGAAGTGGGACAGATGTGGAGTGGCCTGTAGAAGAGAAGAGAAACATGGATGTTTTCTAACACTAAAAATACTGTTGTTGTCAGGTTTAAACCAGAAGAAAAACACACACACAGATGTTTGCTAATGCTTAAAATATTCTGACTGTACCATCCTGTTGACCTGGCCACAGGGGAGAAGGGCATATATGTCTGCATGGAGAGGGTGCATCTGTGTGTGTGTGTGTGTATACCTGTGTGATTCCAGTGAGCTCGGTGCAGAAGTCAGACAGTATAGGGTGCTCCTGCGGCTGAACGTACGTATGGAACTCTGACTCCACCTCACCTGTAGAGGTGTTCAGGAGAACAGCAGGAAACTCAACTAGATGGGGGAGGGGATTTGGGGAGGGGAGATGGAGAGAGGTAGGAGGTGGGAGGGGGAGAGAGGGGACCAAAAAAAGGAGTGATGTTTCAGTATGTAGGTATGATATTACCACAAATATTGTCATCAAAGTACTGTATACTTACTAATCTCCTGCCCATAGCTGTTCCTCGCTCTCCAACATGTGGATTCGAAGTCAATGACAATCAGATATGGGAATATTTGATCTGGAAAGTAGAAAGTCAAAAGTGATGGAAGTTGAATGAGATGCCATTGATTCAAGCAGAAATCAAAAAATGTAGGGCGTTTTAAAAGACTCTTACTAGATGTTAGTAGTTTCTTCTGTCCAGTTGATGACTGGCTGCGTTTCCTCACGAACCCTAGTTGTCTGTTTTGTTATGGAAGACATCATCCCATCAGTTTTGTCACCCCCTGCTACTGTGAATATTAATCTTTGTACTTTCATGTTCATGGAAGCGCTAAAAACTATATTTTCATGAGAATCATGGCAAGTCGGCATTTGAATTACATTGTTTCTCGGCTAGTATGCCTGGCTGTCTGGATATCTTTTAGCTACAAAGTTAGCTAACGTTACTTACTTCGCCAGTTTCTTTGTAGACATGTCGTTTTCTTCAGGCCACGGACTCAACTTCGTTACGAATAGTGTACATTAAATGTTAACAATGTAACAACCAAAGTATGACTTCAAATATAAAGTATCAAGTAAAATATCGCATAAAACTTCATAACAAAGCAGTGTTGGATTCGCGGTTAACTTTTTGAATCCTCGGCTCGTCACATCTGTTACTCTGCTGCGCTCGACTGGTTTGGGCTGAAAGGAAAAATAATCGTTGTCGAGCAGGACGCGATGATCGATCAGCAGCATGGAAACCTTGAAACGTGTGAGGCGAAGCCGGAAAACTTCACGACACAGATTGACCCACTACGAGGTATTGATCTTTATTTGCACTAGTCACACTGTAACTTGTTAGTGGACTTCGGACATGCTACTTTATTTACTTATTGTTCGCGTTATGTATGATTGTTGTGGTTGTGTAAATAAACAAGTCACGATCACTTCAACGTGATGTCGAGATGCAGTAGTGTGTACACATCTAGAGGTCGATCAGTATCAACGACATAACACATAATTAATCAATTAGGAAATAACATTTAACGGAATTTTGTCACAGTTGGGACTGTTGCTAGGATATGATCTAGCTAACTAGATTTCTCTTCTGAAAACTCCATTGGGTGATCCAGGGTCTGTTCCATAAAACCAGGATTAATAAATTAGCCAGCTAAACTAACTGTCCTAAATATTCTAATATAACGTAATATTTTCGAGAAATATTGACTTGAAGCTAGGATGGCATAATTGACTCAACAATAATTTACTTTCTTCACTCAGATCCATGTCCAGTTTGAGTCACTACAACTAGCCAACCAACACAGTTCATGAGGACTTGATCTCGGAGCAACAACCTTCCTTCATCAAACCTGGGACTCCCCTAAGCATGGCGTCACCAGTCTGTCTCAAGAGAAAGAGGGAACCTTCCCCAACACCAGAGAGCAGTAAACGAGTGAAAGATATAGACCGTAACGGAGTTCCAGAGTCTGGGCACCGTTCCCGTCCCCCACGGCTCACGCTGCCGTTTGACCGTCTCCAGGAACCGGTCACGTTGAAAGATCTGACGGAACTGCTTCAGTTTGCTGCTCTGGGGAAAACCGGTGGGCTGAAACAACCCAGGTATGTTAGCTAGCTACTACAACAACAAAAAAAGACATACAAACGTATCTTAGATCAGAGTCTAGACTCTCAAGGCAACAACACTACTCCATAGGGATGGACATCACGACAGGAACGGAAGCAAACATTCTGCCACAACAATAACATGATAGATAGGTATGTATGTTGATTGATAAGTGCTAACATGTTATTGTCTTGTACCCGTCTCAGTTGGTGTCACCTCCACCACCAGAGAAAGGTATCAGGGGTGAGCGTGGTGGTTCTAGAAGGACTGAGCCAGGCCCACTTCTACAGACACTACCTGTACTTCAAACACCTCCGCACCAAGTACACCTCTGTAAGTCTATGCCCAAATGGCACCCTATTCCCTATATAGTGCACTACTTTTGAACAGAACCGTATAGGTCAAAAGTAGTGCACTATATAGGGAATAGGGTGACATTTGGGACACACCCTGTCAGTCATATTGCATAAGATTCCGCCATTGATATGAATCCTGACTCCATCAATGTCCTCTGACCTCAGAGACACAGTTACACTCCATCGCCTGGCAACGTGATTTCTGGAATATTCAGCAGTGAAGTTGTTGGCAACAGTAGTCCCGCTGGTGCGCTAGGAGACCAGACGAGTGCTCAGCCAGAGGGAGGTGTGTATGAGTAGCCCTGCCTGCGACTTAATATCAGTCACCCTCGGCCCAAGGGGGAATTTCCTCTTGGTCTAATGGTTAAGATGTTGATTTCCGGAGTGGGAGACAGGGTTTCAGATCCCACCCATGACGTGTGTGTGTGTAGGTCTGCGGTGGCACCCAGTGATCAGGAAGTTTGGTCAGGAGAGCAGAGGGCTGACTGGATACCTCCTCACCCAGGAGGAGATGATCAAGAAACACTTCCCTGTCCACGGTGAGACACACACACTGGACACACACTCACACACACACACACACACACACACACACACACACACACACACACACACACACACACACTCACAGGTCCCACTCTCTCTCTGATGTCTGTCTTGTGTTTTCCAGGTATGCCTGGCAGTGAGGGCTTTGTGTGTACAGACAGTGATGACTGTGTGACTGACAGTAGTCCTCTCTATGGGCTGGACTGTGAGATGGTGAGAACATGTCTGTATCCCAAATGGCACCCTATTCCGGCCCCATAGGGCCCTGGTTAAAAGTAGTGCACTATATAGGGAATAGGGTGCTATTTGGGACACATCCCATATTCATATCATTCATAGATTTTATTAACAGTAGATGAAACCTCCATTTTGTTCTCTAGTTATTGCTCGGTGTCTAACGTGTGTGTGTGGTTCGGTGTGTGTAGTGTCTGACAGAGCGGGGCAACGAGCTGACGCGTATCTCTCTAGTAGACAGCAGAGGGAGCTGTGTTCTGGACGAGCTGGTCAAACCTCCCAACCGCATCTTAAACTACCTTACACAGTAAGCTGAGTGTGTGTGTGTGTGTTTACGTGTGTCTCTGAGTGTGTGTGTGTCTCTGTGTGTTTACGTGTGTGTGGTGTGTGTCTGCTTCTCCATATCTGTACATAACATCTCCTCTCCCCTGATAGGTTCTCTGGTATCACCTGTGCAATGTTGCAGCCAATCACCACCACCCTAAGGGAAGTCCAATCAAAGCTCAAGAAGGTGTTGCCGCGGGACGCGGTCCTGGTTGGCCACTCCCTTGACAACGACCTCAGGGCCCTGAATGTGAGTCGCCGTGGTTTACCAATGTAGCCATGACGATAGTGGTTGCAATTGCGGCTAGCAGCAATGCCCGAGGCCTGTTCAGGAGAATATAATAGAAATGTATGGTGTAGAACAGATATGATAGAGAATCATGTCAGCTCTATTCATTTCTATCTTCAACGCTCAGACAGTTTCACTTTCCTGAAGACACACCTGGGTCGTATTCACAAGGAACCAAACGGGCCAAAACGGGGAGGGACCTTGTTTTTTGTTTTCCATTGCAAAAGGTTTTCGACCCCGTCTCCTCTCAGCTGACCCCTGACCTGTTGTGTTGTCTCCTCCCAGCTGACCCCTGACCTGTTGTGTTGTCTCCTCCCAGCTGACCCCTGACCTGTTGTGTTGTCTCCTCCCAGCTGACCCCTGACCTGTTGTGTTGTCTCCTCCCAGCTGACCCCTGACCTGTTGTGTTGTCTCCTCCCAGCTGATCCACCCCCATGTGATTGACACCTCCCTGCTGTACAGGAGAGAGTTTGGACAGAGGTTTAAACTCAAGGTGCTGGCTGAGACCGTGCTCAAGTGAGTTCACACTCACAACACACACAGACACACACACACACTGCTGCGCTCTATAATAGGTAGGAATTGCAGCACGCTTGTGTGTATTTCTGCTCTGGCGTGAAGTGTCCTCAGGTACAGATCTAGGATCAGCTTCTTCGCCCCCAATCTTAACCTGAACCATTAAGTGGGGAAAATGCTAAACTGACCCAAGATCAATGTCTAGGGGCAACTTCACCCTACTCATATGTTTGTGCCCCACAGGAAGCAGATCCAGACAGAGGAGAGGAGGGGTCATGACCCCACAGAGGACGCCCAGGCTGCCCTGGAACTGGCCCAGTACTTCATACACACTGGACCACGACAGGTACACACACTGGACCACGACAGGTACACACACTGGACCACCACAGGTACACACACTGGACCACCACAGGTACACACAGACTCCCAGGCTGTATAACCAGGCTGTGTAGCCAGACTCCCAGGCTGTATAACCAGACTCCCAGGCTGTATAACCAGACTCCCAGGCTGTATAACCAGACTGTATAACCAGACTCCCAGGCTGTATAACCAGACTCCCAGGCTGTATAACCAGGCTGTATAACCAGACTCCCAGGCTGTATAACCAGACTCCCAGGCTGTATAACCAGACTCCCAGACTGTATAACCAGACTCCCAGGCTGTATAACCAGGCTGTGTAACCAGACTCCCAGACTGTATAACCAGACTCCCAGGCTGTATAACCAGACTCCCAGGCTGTATAACCAGACTCCCAGGCTGTATAACCAGACTCCCAGGCTGTATAACCAGACTCCCAGGCTGTATAACCAGACTCCCAGGCTGTATAACCAGACTCCCAGGCTGTATAACCAGACTCCCAGGCTGTATAACCAGACTCCCAGGCTGTATAACCAGACTCCCAGGCTGTATAACCAGACTCCCAGGCTGTATAACCAGACTCCCAGGCTGTATAACCAGACTCCCAGGCTGTATAACCAGACTCCCAGGCTGTATAACCAGACTCCCAGGCTGTATAACCAGACTCCCAGGCTGTATAACCAGGCTGTATAACCAGACTCCCAGGCTGTATAACCAGGCTGTATAACCAGACTCCCAGGCTGTATAACCAGACTCCCAGGCTGTATAACCAGGCTGTATAACCAGACTCCCAGGCTGTATAACCAGACTCCCAGGCTGTATAAAGACTCCCAGGCTGTATAAACCAGACTACCGGCTGTATAACCAGGCTGTATAACCAGACTCCCAGGCGTATAACCAGACTCCCCAGGCTGGTATAACCAGGCCTGTAACCCAGACTCAGGCTGTATAACCAGACTCCCAGGCTGTATAACCAGCTGTATAACCAGACTCCCCAGGCTGTATACACAGACTCCCAGGCTGTATAACCAGACTCCCAGGCTGTATAACCAGACTCCCAGGCTGTATAACCAGACTCCCAGGCTGTATAACCAGACTCCCAGGCTGTATAACCAGACTGTGTTCTCTATCAGATAGTGGAGCTGTATTGTGAAGAGCTGTGGGGTGGGAGTCCTGCTATGTACCAGCCTCCTGTCAACAGATCAACATCTACACACAAACACAACAACAACAGGTGTGACCAACAAACCCTTCCTCTCTCTCCCATATCTGGTTCCTCTTGTATTAGCAACACTACTGCGTCTGTATTATCTGCACCGAATCTCCTCTCCCCCTCTCTCTCAGGTTTGCCGAGGCCCTGAAGAGTTCTGGCCAATCAGCCCTGTTTATAGGGAAGCGTGCTGAAATCACCCTGGCTCTATCCAATCAGCAGTGGCACAGCTCAGACAGAGAGGTGAGAAGTGTAATGGGTCACTTGTAGGTTGTGGGTTCGATTCCCATGGGGGACCAGTACGAAAAAGTACTCTACCTCTATCCTTCCACCCTCCAACCTCTAACCCTCCCTCTATCCTCCCACTCTACCTCCCTCCTAACCTCTATCCCTCCCTCTATCCTTCCACTCTACCTCCCTCCATCCTCTAGCCACTCACCCCTCCATCCCTCCTCTATCCTTCCACCTACCTCTAACCTCTATCCCTCCTCTACCCACTCTACCTCTAACTTAACCCCCCTATCCTTCACTCTATACCTTAAAGTCCACTCTACCTCTAACCCCTCTATCCTGTACCTCCACTCTACTCCCCTACCCTCCTTCCACTCTACCTCCCCCTATCCTCCCTCTGTCGCTTCACGCTACCTCCTAACCGCTATCCCTCCCTCTATCCTTCCACTCTACCTCCTAACCTCTTCCTCCACTCAAACACCATCCTAACCTGATCCCTCCCTCTATCCTTCCACCCTACCTCCCTCCTAACCTCTATCCCTCCCTCTATCCTTCCACCCTACCTCCCTCCTAACCTTCCACCCTACCTCCCTCCTAACCTCTATCCCTCCCACCCTACCTCCCTCCTAACCTCTATCCCTCCCGCTATAGCCTTCCACCCAAGAACCACCTCCCGCCTAACCTTCCACCCTAACCCTCCCTCCTCACCTCGATCCCTCCCTCTATCCCTTCCAACCCTAACCTCCCTCCTACCTCTATCCGCCTCCCCATCTTCCTTCCACCCTACCTCCCTCCTAACCTTCCACCAACCCCTACCGGTCCCTCCTACACTCTATGCCCTCCCTCTATCCCTCCCACCCTACCTCCCTCCTAACCTCTATCCCTCCCTCTATCCTTCCACTCTACCTCCTAACCTCTATCCCTCCTTCTCTCCTCCAGGTCCTGTCTTCCTTTAAAAGAGGAATAGAGTCTCACTCGTTCAGCGTTGTCCAGTTGTCTTCCTTCTCTGACCATCTGAAGTCTATGATCTCTACTGACCAGCACTACCACACGGTATCTCTCTGTCTCTCATATCTATCACTACCACACGGTATCTCTCTCTCTCTCATATCTATCACTACCACACGGTATCTCTCTCTCATATCTATCACTACCACACGGTATCTCTCTCTCTCATATCTATCACTACCACACGGTATCTATCTCTCTCTCATATCTATCACTACCACACGGTATCTATCACTACCATACGGTATCTATCTCTCTCATATCTATCACTACCACACAGTATCTATCTCTCCCTCTCTCATAGCTATCTCTACCACACGGTATCTATCTATCTCTCTCATATCTATCTCTACCACACGGTATCTCTCTCTCATATCTATCACTACCACACGTATCTCTCTCTCTCTCATATCTATCACTACCACACGTATCTCTCTCTCTCTCATATCTATCACTACCACACGGTATCTCTCTCATATCTATCACTACCACATGGTATGGACATCACTATATATATATTTTGTGTGCAAGTATTTGATGATTAGTGTAAGCACATATGGGCTGGGCACCAAATGGTGTATGTCATTAAAATAATATCAATCAGTCGGATAAATAATAATCATATAGTACTACTGAATTAGTACTGCTGTCAGATGTAATGACGTTATATTCCAATAGGGGGGGCTAACTGTATACTGAACTAGTACTGCTATCACTGTCAGATGTAATGACTTTATATTCCAATAGGGGGGGCTAACTGTATACTGACCTAGTACTGCTATCACTGTCAGATGTAATGACTTTATATTCCAATAGGGGGCGCTAACTGTATACTGAACTAGTACTGCTATCACTGTCAGATGTAATGACTTTATATTCCAATAGGGGGGGCTAACTGTATACTGAACTAGTACTGCTATCACTGTCAGATGTAATGACTTTATATTCCAATAGGGGGGGGCTAACTGTATACTGAACTAGTACTGCTATCACTGTCAGATGTAATGACTTTATATTCCAATAGGGGGGGCTAACTGTATACTGAACTAGTACTGCTATCACTGTCAGATGTAATGACTTTATATTCCAATAGGGGGAGCTAACTGTATACACGTTGATTTCATATCTGTCTAAATGAACTTTGTATGTGTGTGTGTCGTGCGTGGTGTGTGTTCCAGATGTCTCAGCGTCTGAGAGAGATGTGTGTGGTGTTCGCAGGGCCGTTGCCTAGCGACTACACAGAGAGGGATGTGAGGAGGCTGTTCAGCAGCCGTGGAACCGTACGAGCTGTCAGGCTGCTGAACGCTACACAGCGGGTACGTGACCTGAAAATAAGATCGCTAGTCCAGGGCCCGTATCCATAAAGCGTCTCACAGTAGTGCTAGGGAGGTAGAGTGGAAGGATAGAGGGAGGGTGGGAGGATAGAGGGAGGGTTAGAGGTTAGGAGGTAGAGTGGAAGGATAGAGGGAGGGATAGAGGTTAGGAGGGAGGGTGGGAGGATAGAGGGAGGGTTAGAGGTTAGGAGGTAGAGTGGAAGGATAGAGGGAGGGATAGGAGGGAGGTAGACGTGGAGGTAGAGGGCGGGCTAGGGGCGGGTCGGTGGCAGGATAGGGGAGGGCTCGGGTTGGAGGTAGAGTGGAAGGATCGGGGCGGGTTGCGGTTAGGGGGGGGTGGGCGGACTGCGGGCGGGTTAGAGGTTGGGGTCGCGTGGCCGGTGGGAGGGCTAGGGGGGGTGCGTGGCGGTGGGGAGGGTAGGAGGGAGGTAGGTGGCAGGATGAGGGAGGATAGGGGGGTAGAGTGGAAGGATAGAGGGAGGGATAGAGGTTAGTACAGGAGGGAACTAAGCACACACCCCTGAGGGACCCCTGTGTTGATGGTCAGCGTGGCGGATGTGTTGTTGCCTACCCTCACCGCCTGGAGCCGGCCCGTCAACCTGCTTGAAACAAGTTGGTATTACAGACCGGCTTAGGTTGAAAATGTCAGTGAAGACACTTGGCTGCCGGTCAGCACAGTCAATTTAGCTCGTTTGGTAAGTTTGTGTTGCTGGGTAGCTCGTGGCTGGATTTGGCTTTGTAGCCTGTGATAGTTTTGCAAGCCCTGCCACATCCCTCAAGCATCAGAGTCGGCGTAGTAGGATTCGATCTTAGTCCTGTATTGACACTTTGCCTGTTTGATGGCTAGTCGGAGCTCGTAGCGCCATTTCTTATAAGCCTCCGGATTAATGTCCCGCTCATTGAAAGCGGCAGCTCTAGCCTTTAGCTCAATGCGGATGTTGCCTGTAATCCATGGTTTCTGGTTGGAGTACGTACGGTCACTGTGGGGACGACGTCGTCGATGCACTTATTAATGAAGCCGGTGACTGATGTGCTAAACTCCTCAATGTTATCATATGAATCCTGGAACAGATTCCAGTCTGTGCTTAGTGAAACAGTAGCTTAGCATCCGCTTCATCGGACCAGCACGAACACCTGATTCCACTCATCAAAGTCTTGATGAGGACCAGAGTTGTCGACCAGTGATCAAAATTACTTTCCTATGAGTATAAGTGCCTCATAAATTCGAGTTTGACCTTTCACCTGTGACCCTGTGATGCCTCTTCAGATGCATGCAGAGGTAGAGTTTGAGCTGCTGGAGGGAGCTGTGCTGGCTGTAGAGATGCTCAACGGAACACTGCTACACAACGGACACATCATCAAGGTCTGGATCGATCCCGCTCTCTCTCGTTTTCTGTTTATTTGACTCTCTTACTCTGTCTACGTTTCTCTCTCATAACCCCTTCTCTATGCATCTCTGTCTGGTTTATCTGACTGTCTCTCTGTCTACGTCTCTCTCTCGTAACCCCTTCTCTATGCATCTCTGTCTGGTTTAACTGACTGTCTCTCTGTCTACGTCTCTCTCTCGTAACCCCTTCTCTATGCATCTCTGTCTGGTTTATCTGACTGTCTCTCTGTCTACGTCTCTCTCTCGTAACCCCTTCAATATGCATCTCTGTCTGGTTTAACTGACTCTTTCTTCGCTTTGTCTCTCTCAATCGCTATCGCTTTCTACCCTGCCTCTCTGTCTGTGTCTCTTTCCCCACTCTCTCTCCCTTTCCTTTTCTCATATACTCGTTCTAATTTCTCCCTCTTCGACCTCTGACCTTTGCTCCCAGTAATTCACCCTTCTGTCTTGTTGCTCATGCTCTTTCTGAATTTAAATATTACTGTGTTATATCTCTCTCCTGCTGTTAGTTCCAAAGACGTTAAAGGAGTCACGCTGGATCTACGTCTTTCTGAGTCCTCACACCCGTAATGCCGCTCACGCCGAGGTAAAGGCTAACGCTAAACCACGCTTGAGCCAAAGTCAATGGGCTGGCAATGCTGAAGGAGCTAAGTCATGAGACGGTAAAGCTAACCAGCACTAATCATGGCTGCTAAATCAACGTAAGACTAATAAGCTATAGAGCTAGGCTATTGTCCATTCATTACAATCTAAAAGGCTAAACTGATCCTAGATCCACACTCCTACTCCGAGAGGCTTTATGAGTACTGGCCCAGGGATCTCCAATGGGTGCAGGCTTTTGTTCCATACAAATCATATTTTATTTGTCACATGCTTCGTAAACAACAGGTGTAGACTGACAGTGAAACACTTACTTATGGGTCCTTTTCCAACAATGCAGAGTTAAAGATACATTTTTGTTTTTATATATAGAAAGTGACACAAGGAATAAATATACAGTGAATAACGAATAACATAGCATGGCTATATATAGGGAGTACCAGTACTGAGTCGATGTACAGGGGTACGAGGTAATTGAGGTAGATATGTACATATAGGTAGGGGTAAAGTGACTAGGCAACAGGATATATAAAACAGTAGCAGCAGCGTATGTGGAGAGTGTGAAAAGTGTGTGTGTGTGTGTGGCATCAGCATGCGTGTGTGTGTGGGCGTATGTAGTGTGTGTGCTAGGGTGTAAGTATGTGTGAGTGTGTAGGTAGAGTTCAGTGTGTTTGCATAGAGTCAGTGCAAGAGAGTTAGTGCGGGTAGCAATTTGATTAGCTATTTAGCAGTCTTATGGCTTGGGGGTAGACGCTGTTCAGGGACCTGTTGGTTCCAGACTTGGTGCATCGGTACCGCCTGCTGTGCGGTAGCAGAGAGAACACTCTATGGCATGTGTGGCCTGGGAGTCTTCCTCTGACACCGCCTGGTATAAAAGGTCCTGGATGGAAGGGAGCTCGGCCCTATGATGTACTGGGCCGTACTCACCACCCTCTGTAGCGCCTTGCAGTCGGGTGCCTTGCAGTTGCCGTACCAAGCGGTGATGCAGCCAGTCAAGATGCTCTCGATGGTGCAGCTTTAGAACTTTGAGGATCTGAGGCCAAAATCTTTTTTGCCTCCTGAGGGGGAAAGAGGCGCTGTCGTGCCCTCGTCACAACTGTGTGGGTGTGTGTGGACCATGTTAATTCCTTAGTAATGTGGACACAGAGGAACTTGAAGTTCTCGACCCGCTCCACTACAGCCCCGTGGATGGGGGTGTGTTCACCCCTCCGTTTCCTGTAGTCCACGATCAGCTCTTTTGTCTTGCTGACGTTGAGGGCGAGGTTGTTGTCCTGTCACCACACTGCCAGGCCTCTGACCTCCTCCCTATAGGCTGCTTCAGCGTCGTTGGTGATCAGCTCTACCCCTGTCGTGTCGTCAACAAACTTGATGATGGTGTTGGAGTAGTGAGCGGCCACGCAGTCGTGGGTGAACAGGGAGTACAGGAGGGAACTAAGCACACACCCCTGAGGGACCCCTGTGTTGATGGTCAGCGTGGCGGATGTGTTGTTGCCTACCCTCACCGCCTGGAGCCGGCCCGTCAACCTGCTTGAAACAAGTTGGTATTACAGACCGGCTTAGGTTGAAAATGTCAGTGAAGACACTTGGCTGCCGGTCAGCACAGTCAATTTAGCTCGTTTGGTAAATTTGTGTTGCTGGGTAGCTCGCGGCTGGATTTGGCTTTGTAGTCTGTGATAGTTTTGCAAGCCCTGCCACATCCCTCAAGCATCAGAGTCGGCGTAGTAGGATTCGATCTTAGTCCTGTATTGACACTTTGCCTGTTTGATGGCTAGTCGGAGCTCGTAGCGCCATTTCTTATAAGCCTCCGGATTAATGTCCCGCTCATTGAAAGCGGCAGCTCTAGCCTTTAGCTCAATGCGGATGTTGCCTGTAATCCATGGTTTCTGGTTGGAGTACGTACGGTCACTGTGGGGACGACGTCGTCGATGCACTTATTAATGAAGCCGGTGACTGATGTGCTAAACTCCTCAATGTTATCATATGAATCCTGGAACAGATTCCAGTCTGTGCTTAGTGAAACAGTAGCTTAGCATCCGCTTCATCGGACCAGCACAAACACCTGATTCCACTCAAAGTCTTGATGAGGACCAGAGTTGTCGACCAGTGATCAAAATTACTTTCCTATGAGTATAAGTGCCTCATAAATTCGAGTTTGACCTTTCACCTGTGACCCTGTGATGCCTCTTCAGATGCATGCAGAGGTAGAGTTTGAGCTGCTGGAGGGAGCTGTGCTGGCTGTAGAGATGCTCAACGGAACACTGCTACACAACGGACACATCATCAAGGTCTGGATCGATCCCGCTCTCTCTCTCGTTTTCTGTTTATCTGACTCTCTTACTCTGTCTCTCTGTCTACGTTTCTCTCTCGTAACCCCCTCTCTATGCATCTCTGTCTGGTTTATCTGACTGTCTCTGTCTACGTTTCTCTCTCGTAACCCCTTCAATATGCATCTCTGTCTGGTTTAACTGACTCTTTCTTCGCTTTGTCTCTCTCAATCGCTATCGCTTTCTACCCTGCCTCTCTGTCTGTGTCTCTTTCCCCACTCTCTCTCCCTTTCCTTTTCTCATATACTCGTTCTAATTTCTCCCTCTTCGACCTCTGACCTTTGCTCCCAGTAATTCACCCTTCTGTCTTGTTGCTCATGCTCTTTCTGAATGTAAATCTAATGTGTGTTATATCTCTCGCCTGCCTGTTAGGTCCAAAGACCTGTAAAGGAGTCCACGCTGGATCTGGACGTCTTTCTGAGTTGCCTGCAGGACGACCCGCTAAATGCTAACGTCATCTACGCCGCAGGGCTAAAGGCTAACGCTAAAACAGCACGGCTTGCAGCCAAAGTCAATGGGACTGGGCTAAATGCTGACGCAGCAGCTAAAGTCAATGAGACTTGGCTAAATGCTAACGCAGCAGCTAAATTCAATGGCACTGGGCTAAATGCTAACGTAGCAGCACTCCCAGATAAGGTCAATAGGGCTAGGCTACACGCTAAAGCGAACCATTCAGGGCTCTTAGAGAAAGTCAATGGAACTTTGCTAAATGCTAAAGCTAAGCTAGCAGAAGCGAATGGACCCGGGCTACATGCTAAAGCAAAATTTGCTAAGCTAGCAGAGCTCTCAGCTGAAGTCAATGGAACTCTGCTCAAAGCGAAAGCTATGCTAGCAGAGATAGCAGCCGAAGCCAAGGTTGGAGCGAGGCTACAGGCTAAGACTGCCGGACTCTGTGAAGAGGACCTCCGTGAGGCCTTCGGACGGTACGGAGCGGTCAAGGGCGTAATTCTACCTGCAAAGCACTCTGGGAAACAGAAACGTAGGAGACATGCTTTCTTAAGTGAGTCAATGCTTCACATGTACCAATATCATTTATTTTTTACATTTTAGTCATTTAGCAGACGCTCTTATCCAGAGCAACTTACAGGAGCAATTAGGGTTAAGTGCCTTGCTCAAGGGCACAGACAGAGCCTTGTCGGCTCGGGGGATTCGAACCAGCAACCTTTTAGTCACTGGCCCAACGCTCTAACCGCTAGGCTACTTGCCGCCCATCATCAATGACCTGTGTGTAATTTTAGCTGTTGAATTTTAGTTGTATGATTTCCAAACACGATATGCAATTTGTTAATAATCATATTAAAGTGTGTGTGTACAATATGTGTATATTTTCAGAGTATGATAGTCCTGACACAGTGGACGCGGTCCTTAGCTCACCTGTGGAACTCTGGGACAGGAAGGTGAGCACCCGCAGAGCCCTGACTCCGCCCCACCTGTGCTCCTGGGTTACTATGATGACGACGACTGGGTCCGACAGAGAGACGCCGGACGAGTCCTCACAGGAAACTGGAAGAGAGGAACAGGAAGTGGCGTGTGTGATGAGGAAGTTGGACCGGCGCGTGGGGAAGCTGTTCAGATCTCTACCTGACAACACCCTCAGCATCGTACTGCTGCCTGGGCACAACAGGTGAGGAAAGACACTGACCCAATCCCAAATCATCACCTACGCACTTGTGGAGATCTGAGAGGCTTGAATTGGTATGAGCAATATGGTGATATCACCTAGCCTATCAGAGGTCAATGTGGAGCTATTACCAGATCTCTTACACCTGTCAACTCATCTCAGATCTCCACAAGTGCTTAGGGGTTGATTTGGGATTGGGGCAAAGTCATGTTAGACACACCAGAAGTGTATGTATCCATTAGTGCACACCGTAGCAAAACGTTTTGCTAAAACAAAAATGAGTATCCTTTTGGACGATGTTTAGTTACGGTAGTCCCTCCCTGTTTTGTCCCTTTGCTTCCACTGGGTTCCTAGTGAATACACACCCCTGATGAGGAAAGGGGTTTTCACAGGATGGGCTGTTGTTTTTCTAAACGGAGAGGGGTGGATTCTAATACGCTGTCGGTTTGCTTTTTCAGTTCCCATGGCGATGGTCTGTGTTTCCTGGAGGTCAAACAGGGGTCAGCAGCACTCAGTGACCACGCTCACAATCTGAACACGGACCAATTCCCTGACACGTGAACACGCTGCCGTGCTTCTACCTGCATAGGATTGCAAAAATACGGCAACTTCCCAAGATTCCCAGAAATCCTGGTTGGAGGATTCTGGATTTCCTGCTTATTCCCTCCTGATTTCGTGAATCTTCCAACTGAGATTTCTGGGAAACCGGGACATTTTGGGTTAACAGTTAATATATTTTTGCAACCCTGCGATACCGTGTTTTACCATCTTTGTGTGCTGTAGCCCAGGAGTGATGCAACTTGTGTAACAAAGACAGCTATAGGCTACGAGAATATGAAGTTATTTTTAAATAAAGAGATGAGTCTACTTGCGAGTGCTCGATATGTTTTGTTCAGTACAGGCTGGACAGGAGTTTTGTACAGAGGCAAGGAACTGAAGGAAAAACACAGGAGGTGTCTGAAACGGCACCCTATTCCCTATGTAGTGTGCACTATGGGCACCCTATGGGTCCTGGCAAAACACTATATAGGGATTATTAGGGTGCCATTTCGGACGTAAACTCATACTGTGTTTGACCTGTATTTTATGCTTCTGATCTGAATCACGTGATGCCTTGTATTGTCTTTGTCACGTCCATCTAATAAACGGGTGATTGTTGTTTAATGGGGAGCTTCCTTCTACTGTCTGCTACATGTATAACTCATCCTATCATCGAGTAGAACGTAGAACTCATTCTAGTCTTATTTTGAAGGCTTCCTCGGAAGGAAGATGGCGGAAACGGATGTTCTGTTTGAAACTGATGGTGTGTCAGGTGAAGACGAGAGCACAGAGTGAAAACGAGTGGGTCACAGTGGAAGGATCGAGTGGCGTTGAAGACGCGATGGTAGTAGAGCCTGCACCAGATAATGTTTCTCGGTAACCAAGGGATCCTGATATATTGCATGTTAAAAAGGTGGACGTTTTGTAGTATTTATTGCAATGGTCATAAACTGCACATCACAAATGGAGAAGAAATCAGAGAAAATTGGCATCATTGTAAGTGCAGCTGAACGCTCTTTGGGACTCAGTGATTTTACAGCCGAGGCCTTGCAAGGAATCATGTTGAAGAATGTTCCGCCCTGGACTATGACTGGATGGGGTTTTTAATGTGTCTATTTTTGTATAGTGCCCTCAAACTCAACTCTGGACCTTGAAGCGAGTTCCACTGCATTTTTTCACTGTTCCCCTCTAATCAGGGACTGATTTAGACCTGGGACACCAGGTGTGTGCAATTAATTATCAGGTGGAACAAAAACCCAGCAGGCTCCGGACCTCGTAGGCTAAGAGTTGAGTACCCCTGGCATAGTGTATGATATCGTTTCCTCCACCCCCTCTCCAATAGATTTTTTTCATATCGTTCACTACCCTGTACAATAGGTGGCGGCAATACACATTAAAGTCTAGCAATAAACCTGAAAAAAGAAGGCTTCCTTCTTGCCATACCGGAAATGACGGTATCAAGCTGCTGCCAGCAAAACAGTGGTCAAAACAGACAAGAGTTGAACGCAAGACTGTATCTAAACCATCTTTAGTCGAAAGGTAAACATGAGAACACATCGGAGGGAAAAAATAAATAAAAATCACACAGACGATATGATTAAAGTTGATTAAAAACAACCAGGTAGATCATAAATGCGCATCTAGACAAATTATAATCGCTTTGTAGCTAGGTCCACATGGATCGCTAGCTGATATGTCGTTAACTAGTTAACGTTAACTTCAAACGTTAGTTGGTTTAGCTATATCAGAACGGTTTATATAGACCTTTAAAAAGGCCAAATCATACGCTAAGTATTTCTTTAAGCACGTGAATGAGCGTGCTCACGCTGGAAATATAATGCTTAATGAGAGAAGACGGGCTGCGAGCGTCAGATTGTATTTTTCTCGCATCTATGCGGAGCAATGCTGGTAAAATTAGCGGTTAAATTCCCAGAAAATACTATTTGTGCATTATGTCTGGAATTGTGACATGTATAGTTAGTGTCCATTTAGTGTTGATAAGTTTAACTACGGTATAGTAATGCATGAATGCAACATTATACATTTATCAACTGGATTGTGTTTCGGAATTATATTACGGGTTGTCAATGTCATTTCTTGACAGTAGGCTATCACTGTGGTAGATTAGACGATTTGATTGATAAAGTTCAAACAAAGTGCATGGTAAAGTGTAGCTTTGGGACACAACATCGGGAGTCTGTATTGGACTGCCTGAGTTGGGCATAGTTCTGGTGGCTGGCGACGGAAAATAACCGTACCACAATAAATAGATCTCAGGCAGCTGCATAGCCATAGCAGGAGATTTGTCCACCAACCTTTTCTTGGCGATACTTTCTTCGTTCTCGATGATGAGAGGCACCATTGTCTTAAACTTATGTGTCCAGTTACAGGGGGAACGATTGAATATATAAACTGCTCCGTTATTAAATACATGTTTTGCTCCATTAAGTAATCCAACAATGTGTACACTGCCATCTTGTCTATTTCTCCTCTCTCATTGATCGAGCGAGGTGAGTGCCATTCAAAGTGACGCTTGATTGGTGGATTCATTGACGAGCCAGGTGGGTGTCCACCAATCAAGCCTACACTCACCTGACTCCAATCAATGAGATAGGAGAAATAGACAAGATGGCGACGTTTAATAATTGTTGGATTACTTCATGGAGCAAAACATTGATTTAATTTAATAACAAAGCATTTTCTAAATTCAAACATTCCCCCTGCAACTGTGCACTTAAGTTTATATGACAATGGTGCCTCTCCTAATAGAGAACAAATAAAGTTTATGCCCAAAAAGGTTGGTGGAAAAATCTGCAATGGCTATAGAGCTGCCTAATATCAAGGGTTATCACAGCTAATGAGTATAAACCGTTTGATTCCATTAGCTAGGTTAGTGAGTGCCTTGGATCAAATTAATCAAATCTGGTCTAGAGATTGAGTAGGTCCTTTGTAGATTAAGGAGTTAGAGGAATTGTTATGATTTCGATCATAAGAATGACTGGAAGTCTACAGGAACAGTTTGGAAGTCTATGGAAACAGCTAACATGCTGTAGATGTCATCATTGCGCTAACGCTAGTTAGCATTTGCTCGCAAAACTAACTCTAACTTCCTTCATACTGGACACAGAGACATAAAAATGGTATCCACAAGTTCATCTAATTCTAGGGAATTATATCAAATCATTGCCAAAATCCTGAACTATCCCTTTAAATATCAGCTAATAATGACATGAAATTACAGATGCAAGTGTTTTGACATAAACATCTTTTTTTTACAGGTAGTCTAAAGTCCTGCCATTGACTGCATTGTTGTTGTTGCCACACAAGCAGGACAATATGAATCCACTCAGTTCAGAGAAGGAAATGTTGATTGATGAAATCGAACAGAGTTTATTTACTCTAACCGTGGACAATTTGCGTTACCTGTGTGAACGTCATAGACAAGATGGCAAAGATGGATCTGAAATTAAAGGGATGAATCATCGCTTATTAAGGCGTAAAATCATGGAGGAAATGTGGGACAATACGGATTCAATGAAATCAGAGGAGCAGGGAATGTCTTGGTTAGTCCAACTGAAAGAGGACATCAGGAGGATACTGGAGGATGCTAGGGGTGCACCAATGAGTCCCAGCCAGTCCGATGATGATGATGTAGACTATGACGAAGAATGCGAAGAGGAGGACAGCGATTGGTTGCCTAGCAATGGACTGAAGGTGGAGCACTTGAGTTCCAGCCAATCCGATGATGATGCTGCAGACTGCGACGAAGAATGGGACGTGGAGGACAAGGATTGGTTGGCTAGCGATGGGCTGGGGGTGGAGTTGGATCCAGAGAGGTGCACACCAGAGCGGAGTGTGAGAGGCGTGAGTATTTCTTTTTCCAGTCATAAAGTGTGTTTCTCAGTATTTCCTTGATAAATCTCATCCTTGATTCCTTGACCTCAAATCAGTTTGTTGGTGGCATATACAAATATGCAGATGTTATCGCAGGTGCAGCTAAATACTTATTGTTCCAACAGTAATATCTAAAAACAATACACAACAATACACACATAATAAAAAAGAAATAAATTAAGAAATATCAGAATGCGCAATGTCAGGAATATATAATACATACATAATAATAATAATAATAATATGCCATTTAGCAGACGCTTTTATCCAAAGCGACTTACAGTCATGCGTGCATAAATTTTTTTGTGTATGGGTGGTCCCGAGGATCGAACCCACCACCTTGGCGTTACAAGCGCCGTGCTCTACCAGCTGAGCTACAGAGGACTGTACATACATACAGTTATAGTCAAAAGTTTGGACACCTACTCATTCAAGGGTTTTTCTTAATTTTTACTATTTTCTACATTGTAGAATAATAGTGAATACATCACAACTATGAAATAACATATATGGAATCATGTAGTAACCAAAAAAGTGTTAAACAAATCAAAATATATTTTATATTCTTCAAAGTAGCCACCCTTTGCCTTGATGACAGCTTTGCACACTCTTGGCATTCTCTCAACCAGCTTCACCTGGAATGCTTTTCCAACAGTCTTGAAGGAGTTCCTACATATGCTGAGCACTTGTTGGCTGCTTTTCCTTCACTTTGCGGTCCAACTCATCCCAAACCATCTCAATTGGATTGAGGTCGGGTGATTGTGGAGGCCAGGTCATCTGATGCAGCTCTCCTTCTTGGTCAAATAGCCCTTACACAGTCTGGAGGTGTGTTGGGTCATTATCCTGTTGAAAAACAAATTATAGTCCCACTAAGCGCAAACCAGATGGGATGGCGTATTGCTGCAGAATGCTGTGGTAGCCATGCTGGTTAAGTGTGCCTTGAATTCTAAATAAATCACAGACAGTGTCACCAGCAAAGCACCATCACACCTCCTCCATGCTTCACGGTGGGAACCACACATGCGGAGATCATCCGTTCATCTACTCTGCATCTCACAAAGACACAGCGGTTGGAACCAAAAATCTCAAATTTGGACTCATCAGACCAAAGGACAGATTTCCACCGGTCTAATGTCCATTGCTCGTGTTTCTTGGCCCAAGCAGGTCTCTTCTTCTTTTTGGTGTCCTTTAGTAATGGCTTCTTTGCAGCAATTAGACCATGAAGGCCTGATTCACGCAGTCTCCCCTGAACAGTTGATGTTAAGATGTGTCTGTTACTTGAACTCTGAAGCATTTATTTGGGCTGCAATCTGAGGTGCAGTTAACTCTA